TGTTACTGTTCAACTAACATTACGTATATTGTCTGTTAGCGGCATCGTGTGTGCATTTAACCCTTTAAGGACACATGACGTGTGACATGTCATGATTCCCTTTTATTCTAGAAGTTTGGTCCTTAAGGGGTTAAAGGAAATGTAAAACTAGACAAATACCTTTTCGCGGTTTCGAATTTGCTATTAATAGTGATCTATACTATAAAAAAAAACATTGTTGATGAGGTTACCGCTTTATAAGCTATAAAGTATATCAGAGATTTCTTATATTTGCTTTGTCTTGAAACATTTTAGGAAAAGAAATTTGATTACTAAATCACTAAATAAAAATGGCTTATAAACCCAAGAAGCATCCTGCATCATTTATCTCAGCTTCCTTCCCTAAAGTCTTCAAGTTAACGCAGCGGGTCAGTAAATACAATGAAACATTTGTTTTCTTCAGATTCTCAATAGACTAAATTTAAAATTACACCATACGAAAGCTCAGGAAAACGATGTAAAAACTGCACTGGCTCGGTTCATATCTTAAACTGACAGACTCCCAACAATTATTGCACGGACAATACCCAAGCATATGTCAACTGATTTGCAAATAAGTTATGTCACCTTATCTAACATTATTGTTTTTGCAGAGGACATAAACTGTGTCACTAATATTAAATTGTGTCTGCAAGAAAAAGCCCAAGTCAGCTTTCTCTACGCTGAGAAGGCAAAGCCATCTGCAGAGAGATGAACATGCATACGGCCATCATTTGTCCAACATCTTACAAAATGTGAAGGTTTTTACTTGAAATGCCAACCTATGTGGCAGATGATATATGTGTTTCTTCAGTCCTGTGATTACCAACACAGAGCTGTCGAGCACTGCTCCTCACCTCATCAGTTCCGCAAGCTACACTGTAAGGTGCATGAAGCATTTGCAACAAGATGGCTTCTGACACGCCGAGTGGGGGGAAAAAATGGCAAACGCTGTGTGAATTTCTGACTGTAACTTCCTCTCACAACAGGGTCATGTTTTAACCCGCAGGAATTAGTATGGGTAATGACTTTCTGATGGAAGAAGAAAAAAAAAAAAAGGGAGAAAAATTATTTTAAAATCAAAATAATATTTAAAGAGGTAGGAAAGAAAAAAAAACTCACGAGATTAATAATAAAATGACCCAGAGTTTAGGGTCATATGGAAATATCAAATACGTTATTAGTTTGGAGGGCAGCTGAATTGGAAGCGTTTTTTGTTTTTTTTCTTCTTTGAAAGCTCCAATTTCTTCAGATAAATATTCTTTTGAATGTATTGTTCTATATATTTTATACATATAGTTATGGCAGCAGTGTACAGGCTCGGAGTGAATGTTGCTGGAATTGCACAGCCAGTGAGAGGGGCAGCCTTTCAGTAGGGCGCCGTGAAATTAATTCTGAATTGGAACAATAGTAATTTGTTTGTTTAAAGCAAAGCTATTCAGGTTGTATTTTAGTTCAGCAAATTTCCCTAGCCACAAATAAAATGCGTTGCGCAATTTATCACTTAAAGGGGAAGTATGGAAAAAAACTAAAACTACTTGTTTGTACAGAAATAAAATTTAAAAATTATATATATATATATATATATATATATATATATATAAAAAATAAAGGACGGTTGGCTTCCAGGACTCTCAGAAAAGAGGAACAGCCCAATGATCCCATCCATTTTCACCATTTATAACTGCCAGGGGCTAAAGGGGTACTATTATCATTGGTCCAGAATTCCTTCATGTCGTCTGTACAAATACTGTGTCATAACTCATAATAAAGCACCACCATCTTCCCATATGTACAGCACTACGGAATTTGCTGGCGCTACATAAATAATAATAATATAACAATAAACTATCTCCATTAGATAAGCCATCGTCGTACCTGGTAGGAGGTTGAAGCCCAAAGCAGTTTTTTTGTTTTTTTTTAATCCTTTTGTATTAGTATGTCTAATTATCTATTCTCTTCTTGTATAATTACCAATGTTCCATTTGCTGAAATTTTAATGAGAGCTCTATAAGAAATGTTAAACAAATATATCAAATAAGATACCAGATATAATATATATACACAACAGTACAAAATAAAATAACAGATCCACAATCTCTAAATCTTGCTGCATAATAATCATGACATACCAAAAAGCATGTCCCACCAAGCCCAAAATGTTGCCTATCTTTCCATTATGGTGTGTGGCTTGGCTTGCTAAACACAGTATCAATTACTCATGTTAAGTGACATGGTCTTCATTATACAAAGGAATTCCAAGATTCATCCCATTATGTAAAGGAATTCCTTGCCCTCGAATGTTTGTTAAGATCCACATGACTAATATTTGTTCAGATGCACTCATATGACTGCAATTTAAGTTGACTTATTACCTGTATTTTTTTTTACAGGCAAGATCAAGACACCAATGTAAGATATGTGCAATGTAACTTTTAGTTCAATTAATTAGGTTCTTTTATTTTCTGTTTGAATTTATTAAAATCACTTGCATTTAAAGGGACACTAAAAGCACCCACACCACTTCAACTCAATGAAGTGGTCTTGGGTGCAGTGCCACTGTCCTCTCAACCCTGCAATGTTAATAGAACATTATAAGGTCAGGAACAGAAATTGTGTTTTCCTGGCCCATCCCCACCTCCTTGGCTGTCAGTCAGAATTGATGATCTCAGTCAATCCGATGCGTTACCATAGGAAGACATTGGATTGGCTGAGTTTGTCAAATCTGATGATCTCTGCAAAAGAAGCGAGGCAGGTGGCAGAGCCAAACGCTGCCCTGGCCAACCAGCATGTCCTCATAATTATGCATTGAATCAATCTCTATGAGGAAAGTTCAGCGTCTCCAGGTAGAGTGTGGAGACCCTGTATGTCACTGCTGCACAACAGGAAGCACCTCTAGTGGTCGTCTGAATAACTGCCACTGGAGGTGTCCCTAGGCCGCAATGTAAACGCTGCCTTTTGTGTCCCTAGGCACACTGCAACACAAACAATTGTTACACTTGATATTTATTTTCTGTATGCATAGAATCAGATTGTCATTATTGTATCCTTGACTGGTAGCGTCCTTTGCTCGTGTTTGCAAAAGTCATGAGCATGTGCATAGCATCTCATTCACTGCTACTGCTAGTTTACATGTAACTTGATCAATGGTGTGGGTGAGAGCCGGGGGCAGGTGGCTGAAGAAACAGGGGTGAGGTGCCTGGAGATTGGACTACCGATCCCATAAACTACTACAGAGAAAGGAAAAAAGAAACCACTCAAAGACCACAATGTAATGCCTTTTCCCTAATCTGGGAGGCATTTCTGTTGCAGACACTTGCAATTCCGGCAGTTGTATTGCATACAATGCTTAAGTAAATAGAGGTCATCAGCCTTCATGTGACATCCAATCGTTGAGAAGCCAAGCCATATTTCTTATATAATCCTAATAGATGTGCGTTAGACTATAGGTGTGCAAGCACGGTTCTCAAAACCTACCGTATCAGTTTCATTTGGTCCATCAACCTAGTTATTTGGTTTCTTTTTATACCGTTTACTCAATATACCTAGCGCTGTGGAATTGGTTGACATGACTTACACAAAGCCTAATACAAAAATAAACAATATATAATAAAAAAATATATAAAAATTAACATACAATGTTATAATTGGTCAGATATTTATAAATATTTTATACTTTGGTGGAAAAACAAAGTATTATTAAGGGAAACGACTCTTAGTACTATTTAGACATTTTACTTTGTATTTTTGGCCTTCTGCCTACTAGTGCCAAAATATTATTTCTCACTCAGCAGGTAATAAATAATAACTTCGCTAATGATTAATACCATGAATTTCTAAACCTGACTAATGCATGAAACTTAGAACCTGTAGAACAAGTGCACGATAATTGTTGTGAGAGCTGTGCATTGGGTTTAAGGAAAGTAATCCACATGAAATGAAGCGTTTTTGAGCAGTCCAGCTGATCCTAAGAGGCCTCATTAAGCTCATCTCTGCAACACTCCCCATTTGTACATTGGAGGTAATATGTTCTTCACTGCACTGAGCCTTAACTATCCGCAAGAACAGTCTGTCCTTTTCAAAGGTGGATACAAATTGCTGTTCATTAAACTCCCCAACCTGGATAAAAAGATTTTATTAAATATATATGGGCAGTTGTTGGAGGTTAGGACAAAACAACCATATCTTAATGGAATTATTTCTCATAAAATACACTAGTTTTCATTGAATATAACAAATATTGTGAAAGTTTTCCATAAAAATAGATACAAAATTGTGAAAATATATATCTCTTTTTATGTGCACAGTAAATTCATTATGACATGGTTTTGAATCACGCAATGAATTAAGACACAACAGAAAAAAAACATTATTACCTTGCGTAACCTTGATGCAAAATTAAACAATGTGCTTGTCAACACATACAATTATTGTTTTTATTTTAGTTATGTTTTAAACTTTTAAAACTCTAGTTTAAAGAACAGACCTGGCTAAAGAATAGGTAATGGTTTACATCCCAAATATTTAATAATGAGAATTTGGTTCCCAAGGCACCAAGTACCAAATTCAGAGCAGCTAACTCTGATAGTCAGAGTTCCACCTGATCTCAGATACTTTGTCATACCTGTAAATCAGTGATTTGTGAATAAAACACATAAAAAATAATGAACGAACCTTTAGCACATACCATTGATGGCTAATGTGTACCACCATTTAGTGATCAACAACATATGAGTTCACCAAGTTTTTATGGAAAAAAAGATTTTAAATAATGTTACTAGAACGTGAGAAAATAAAATACATGTTTTATTTGTGCCTTTTAATATAATTACTTTGAAGCCAGGCATATACATATTAAACTGTGTAACAAGTGTCATGTCATCAAGAGTGGATCCCAGTTTATTCTAAACATATCTCCCATTCAGGCTGTGGGAAAAATTAAATATATGGTAAAATCTCATCTGCAAACTGTTTGAATATAACTAATCATCTATATCAATTTTCAACAATATGGCTTTGCGGCGTTCTGTCGCCATAGCCGTGTTGGCATTGCCCAACAGGCAAATCAGGCGCTGCACCCACCCGATAGCCACATCAAAATCCATGGCAGTTTCTCCTGCCTTAGCGGACTCTAAGAGCTCGTAGAGATTGGACGCTGGGCCAGTCACCTTTAGGATCTTATCCTGGCAATTTTTGAGCGAAAACTCCAAGCCCTTCTTGGGTTTCCATCCCGTTTTCCCTAAAAATTGGGAAATCGTGGGGTCCACTTCTGGGGTTCTACAAGCTTCATTGGGCACATTAGGACCTGGACATTCCGCCCTAAGTCTTTGGCGCCCCTCCTTAGACAGTGGTGTGCGCATGCGTAGCTCCAAATAGTTTGTGATATGTGTGGGTGGCTCCCACTCCTCGGAATGCAGGTTGCATAAGCCCTCCGGGTCGAACAAGGGTTGTCCCTGTGGGTCCCGGAGACCCACCCCCACGTCCCCTGGAGCATTGCCCGACCCAAGTGCCGCAGAGGTCAGACCCTCCTGGGCTCCAAGGTCAAAAGGACACCGCCTCATCATAGGAGGCGTAGACAAGGGCGTCGGAAATCTCCTCCTCACTCCGGTCGGAGTCCGAACAATCTTCCAGGACTCGTGCCCGCTACCATGATCTGGCTGCTTTTGCCCGGCCAGTGGCTCTTTTGCACTGGGGTAAAGCGCCATCATTGATCGCAGAGGGCGGATCCGTCTTATGGGGCATTACCTGATCATTGGAGTGGGAGCTGAGGTGCTTACTCTTATTCTTCGTCTTGCGAGTATTAGCAGTGGAGGTGGCCTGGTGGTCACCATGGGCTTGACACAGTGCTTGCGTCAGTGTCTGACAAAATGACGAGGACATAGCCCCCATTGCAGAGGCCAGAGCCTTATTGATGAACGTGGCCATAGTCGTATCCAGGATAGCCTGGAACTCATAAGAGGCCAGTAAGGCATCAGCCATGGGGGGGCTGAAAGGGATCAATACTGGTTAAACCAGTCCCATCTACATTATCCCTTATGGACTGCATAGTGACAGAATGAAGGGAGAAAACTTAGAGTCAGCTAAGTACTAAACAGCTGAAAGAAAAACAAATAGGGTTGAGTAACCCACACTTACAACACTAATCAAACTCTCCGGTGTTTCCCCCACCAGAGGAGCCTGGAGGCGTCAGGCAGCGAGGGAAGGTGAGAGACCACACAACTGGTTTCCCGCCTATGCGCGCTTTAACTAGAGAAAGCGGGCGAACAACAGCATCTGCCTCCTCCCCTCACAATGGCCATGAGCACACAGAGTTCGCGGCCATTCCGATGTCGTGGGAACCAGCCGCACAGCTAATTAGAATGACTACGGCAGCTCTCCCAAGGGAGGGGAGACCACTGGCTCCCGAATGCGGCCTTGAAGCTGCAGGCAAGAGAGGGGGAGACAGGAGGAAATCAGGGGGAAGGGGAACCCAGGGAGGTACCCAAAGCATCGGCACCCCGTTGAGGTTACAAGCATACACCATTAGAGTTAAGAAATTAAATACTTAGCTGTTTGAGGGAGCAGCAAGAAAGAAGAGGAACAGGATGTGACAGTTTCCTTTCGCAGGGACACCTGTAACCTGATTGGCTGCCACTGTTCATAGGCAGATTTATAATATTATTGTTAAAACTATTTCGTTTTTTTTCTCAATTGTTTTGCGGCTGAGGTAATAAAATAAGAAAGAATGCATAATAGGAGCCTCCGTGTCTGTAATAAAATTAGAATACTTGTGCAAGCATCATATAACAGATTCTATCCCAGCAGTCAACTCAGCATCTGATGTTTAAAAAATGAGCACCAATTATTATTATTATTATTGGCATTTAATAATAAGCAGAACTTTATAATATTATAAAGCGGGAAAATTAACAAGAAATTGGATCATTACAAACGATTACAGTGCCAATAGGTTGATGAGAATAGTTTGGCAATAAAAAAAACACACACCAAACGTACTATTATAAACTACAGATTAATATGTGACATGAATATTACTTTATTACACCACTGAATAGAGAGAATGTCTTATGATGAGTGAAAATGTCTTAATATATGAAACACGCTTGGAAAAATGCAATATTGTCAAAATGTGCAGATTTTTCTTCCTTTCTCTAAACCACCATTCTGCCCATGTGTCTGACAAGATGTCCTGTACATCCACAGCACTCTAAAAAGTGCATATTATTTACCCGTGAATAAATGTTGTTTTTATAACAAAGGCAAAAATGCCAATTTTTTGAACACACACAGAAATAAACAAGGTTCATCCCTCAACTAATTTGTGGCAGGGAGAAAGAAAAACAGGTTTGAATTTACAAATTTGTAAATGAACAACAAAACCGGTTCTTTAATCTATCTATGTTAACGCCTACATGCATAGCAAGTAACAAATACAGCCACAATATAGTACAGCAGAATCCTTGCCATTCTCCAATAAATGAAAACGTTCCATTATCTCAAGAAAGTAAATACACAAACAGATGGTTTTAATTCAAAGTGGAACACAAAAAAATATTTAAAAAAAACAAAAAAAAACTTTACATAATACGAGTTAAAGTTCCACTGAAAGTGTATTTGGAAAATATGTACGTTACAGGTTAAAGCGCTATTCTGCCACTGCTCTGCACTGCAATTTGATTTTAAAGAGAAATGTCTTTGGAATGCTAATTAGTTACAGGGGCTAATCATCTTGTAAACATCCAGATTCTCTGAGAGCACGCTTGTCAAAACTAGAAAACAGTAGTTTTACTAAGAAATGCTGCATCATGTAACCAACTACTATAATCCCCAATGTGTAATGCAAATTACTGCCTTTTGTGCTTCTTCTGGGAAGATCTGAGGTTTTCATTTGTTACAGCTGTACATTGCCTAGAGAGAGGTGCTGGGTCAGATCAAAGAAAAGGAAGTGTAGTCTTCATACAGTTGTCTTAAATTTATTATTATGCAGATACATTCGGACTTTAAAAAATGCTTTTTTTTTTTTGTTCACTGGAAAAAAAAAAAATCATGATTTGTGGAAACATACATTATATGAGATATTAGAGGTGACCAAACTTGCAACCCTGTTGTTGCAGGAAACAATATTAATAATTAAGGGAACTGTACCCCAGCAACAGTTGGAAGTTCAAGATTCATTAACCTGTTATAAAACATCATATTGTAGAATTTGTTACACTGAAGAACTCCTAGGCCAGCACAGGCCCCTTTGATAATCTTGTAGAGGAACCGGATGTGCTATCTCGGTCGTGATCTTCAAAATAGTTCTGTTCAATCCTTCTGCAAAAGCCAATGAGATTGTTGTAACTCTTCACTTTTTCACGGAGTTCATCGTTAGTCAGCTGTGTAGTGAGGATTGTGAACAGATGTCCGAATACCAGGGCATCTAGCTCAGTGGGTCTACAGGAATTGGATAAGAAACAGAACAGCATAATACTCAAGTCAAAACCATCTGTGATTTTCGTTTAATGAGGTTAAAGCACGTACTATAAATTCTAGAGATTTTTCTATTCATATTAACTCCTTCACCACAACAGATTGACTTTGGTATGGAAGTAAAATGTGAATTGGCCTAGTCAGAGCTAGGGATCTCTTTAATTCGGATTCATTTATTTATGGCAGGCAAGTCCAATATACAGAATCATGGTGCACTGTGGAACCTGCTGGTATTTTATAAATAATACTCATCTTATGTAGTATGGAGGTTACAAAAGGAGGACATGTGGTCTAATATTAGAACAAATCCTGTTAAGTTTCAACGCACAAAATACCAGCTGTATACGCTGTAGAAATTAAAGGTATAGTCTAATTACCATAACAACTTTAGCTTAATCAAGTAGTGTTGGTGTATACAAACAAAATCATTTCATTAAAGGGACACTCCAGGCACCCAGGCAAATTCTGCCCATTGCCCATTGGAGTGGTCTGGGTGCCAACTCCCACTACACTTAACCCTGCAAGTAAACTGCAATATTTACCTTGCAGGCTTAAGTCACAGCCACTAGAGGACACGAAAAGTATGTTATAAAGACGCTGGACCTCCTCACGCTATGTGAGGACCTCCAGCGTCACCGAAATCCCCATAGGAAAGCATTATTCAATGCTTTCCTATGGGGAGGTCTAATGCGTGTGCACGGCATTGCCGCACATGCACATTATGTCTCCCCCGCCGCCGGCCGCGCATGTGCAACAGGTCTCCCCCGCCGGCTGTCATTCGGCGGGGGAGGAGCATGGGCGGACCCTGACCCAGCGCCGAGGGACATCGGCGCTGCATACAGGTAAGTCACTGAAGGGGTTTCAACCCCTTCAGCAACTTGGGATGGGAGGTGGGAGGGAGAGGGGACCTGCAGTGCCAGTGTTTTTTTTTCCTGGCACTGGAGAGTCCCTTTAAGCTAAAGTGGTTTTGGTGCTTAGAGTGAAACTTTAAAGCTTGCTCCATGACATAGGTAAGCAGAGGATAAATAATTCTGTAGTGGTAATTTAGTTAAAAATAATAATAATAAGGCAGGCATTGAGCATTTGTGGTGCTGGTTAACTCTGCTATCATCTTTTGCTGCTGGGGTTTTAGGGCAGTCTAAAGATAGCAGCTGGTGGTCTCTTTGGATAACTGTTAGCTGCACTCTTTAGAGGAGCCCCCACTAAAGGGCTCCACTCTTTAGAGGAGCTTACTAAACCGAATCCCCCAATCTAGTAAAATTAGTGTTCACTGCTTTCATCCAGAGAAGAATATTTTACAGTACAGTGTTGCAAATTAGCACATTTTGACAATTGCAAAACAGGTTTTTTCTAAGATAACATTGCATCAGTATGTATGTAGATATGTAACATTTGATATGCTATGGCAGTAAAATAACTTAAATGCACAGTGAAGCTCTTTATTTCAGTGGTGAATAGCTTAAATGGAACCACTGCCCAATCATTTTCCAATCTTAGCAATGTTTCTTATAGAGGCTTAAACTCATTGAACTAGCCTAGATGCAATGTCCCAACCCTATTGGCCCAGCCATACAAAACATTGCAATTTTACAGAAACTGCAATGTTTATATTGCAGTGTTAACCAGACAGCCAATAGACGTGCTTTCTGCTATTTCACAGAATTTAACTTTGAAATCCCATAGGAAAGCATTGAATCAATGCTGTTCTATGAGGAAGGCCTAATACGCACACTGCGATCAGTGCACATGTGCATTAGATGGAGTCAGCCTGAGGGACCGCAGTACTGGAATAAGGGTTTTTAACCCTTTATTTGTGGCCGGTGAGGGCGACGGCAGAATTTTTATTTCCTGACACTAAAGTGTTCTCAGATCTCGGGTTTTTCCAAAACAACCAAGTGACAAGGGAAATCCAGCATTCTCTATTGCTTGCTGTGTCAATGTAAAACCCAAATAGCATCCTACACATGCTTATGATGAAAAGTTTATTAGACAACCTAGATTGTTGATGTCATTAGACATGGATGGACCAAGGACTGCATAGCATATGACTGGCTGAGAGTGCTGTGGGCACATTAACCCAGTACTGTCATGCAAGTTGGACTGAATTAATATTGGCAATATGGAGGTGTAAATTTAACATAGGCAATGTGGATGAAGAGGAAGCGAGCTGTGGGTGGTTGTGGAAAACCTTGTTTTCTGTCAAACTACACCAAAATGGACAGAACATGGCACCAAGTCTGTAACCTCTTTGTACTATCAATAGCTACTACAAGCTATAGTAGTTATAGTGCTGATAGAGCCCCTTAAACATTATGTCAAATGCCTTAGTGCAGCAAATAAACATTATGGTCATGTTGCTGATCCCGATTTTGGGGTCCTGATTGGCTGCAATTTTCCAATGTTTTATTACCTTTTCTGCAAATTAGAGAGAAATGTAAAAAATATAATGAAATATATGGCGCCCTTGCTATATGATGCCTGGGTGTAGCAGGAATTAGTAAAAACTGAACCTTCATTTTTATGCATAACATGAGAATAAAGTTTACCTTTTTCCTTCTCTCCCATAACACCACAGAACATGTTAATGTTTTATAAATAATTCATTGCGTCTTTCTTTATATAGCTAGAAATCAGAATATATATGTTGGAGCTCGTTGAGCGGGGCCTTCTTCACCTCTGATATATTCACTGTCTATAATTGTAAAGTGCTGCAGAATATGCTGCAGAATAATGATAGTATTATTATTGTTATTAATAATAATACATAACTATCAAGTCAGGAATTAATTTGAACATTCTATCGCCATAGAGCTAGGGCTCAATCGGGTGCAAATTATAGGAGATCTTTACATAATAAATGCGGATATATACATTTTAAAAATAAATAAAGCAAGACCTGCATGCTGTTCTAAAACATAGAATGGAATATGTAACATGACATGGCAATGAATGAAACTGTAACAAAAACATGCTGACTGTCATCTTTTTGGCTCTCGGGGCAAGGTACAAGAATCCTCTATTTGTCCCAATGTCCCCTAAAGCTCTTGTGCATAACAAAACTTACTTTAAAAAGTGCACTTCAAACACTTAATGACATCCCTCCTGGGCTTTTCATGTGTCTGAAATTCCCTAGACAGGGAGAATAGTTACTACGTAGTTGTGGCAGTTAGTTGAATTTCTTTTGTTTTGATGTCTAAACAAATGGTAATAAACATCACAGCAAAATCAAAGAGGAACAGTGGTTTTCTGAATGAGACCACTTCCACCTGACAGCCATGAATGTGCTGACCTGGTCATCCATAGGCCACAGTTGTCAAGTTAGTGTTGTAGAGCAATGAGTATTCACCATTTGCAAACTGACACCTATCATCAGCTAACAGGAGAGAGGAAAAAAGGTTAACTGATACGAATAGTTGTAAAGATGAAGATGCGACTAAACCCAAGCAACACTTTCTATTAATTAAATTCTAGTGTATGTGTCTCAAGTGTACAATCTTCATTATAAACGTGATACATATTTTTACGTGTCATTTTTTTCCATAGGCTATATGGAGGAAATAGATTTTAACAGTCATTATTTGGGACTCTGAGAATGTTGGATGGGGAAGTAGATTTCAAACAACCCTTTCATAGGTCTACAAGATCATCCGAGAGCTTCTGGTACTACCCATTCTGGCATTGTAGTTACAGTGTCTATAAGCAGAGTTTAGACTATCCGAAACATTAGGTTTATGGCAATTTAGAACCCTTATTGGCCTTTGTGTACCATACGGGCATATTTATGAAGGTAAAGAGGATATGCTAAATTTAGATCAAAACAGAAGCCATAAAAAACCTCCAAACAGCCCTTCAATTGTGATTTATGTATCATGGATATCTTGTACATGAGTCCATTCATTTCACAGCACAGAATTAAAATATTACCAGGCACTCTGCCAAATGAGGAAAAGAGCAATAGAGAACAGAAGAACTCTGAGGGTATATTTGGACATTTTCTATACTATTATTATTTTATTATTTATATAGCGCCAGCAAATTCTGTAGCGTTGTACAATTGGGATAAGAATGAATTCTGAATGGAGTAACACAAGATGAATGTTTAGCTATTAATTTCTGGTATGGAAATGTACACAAATAAAATAATTACTGTCCACTGGCTCACTCTATAAGGGCTCAAATTGCATTTACCATATAGAAGGCCTTAAAGATGTTTTCAGTTTATGCATGTTTATAATGACTAAGGAAAACAAAACGTAAAAATATATATACACACAAGTAAGTTATGTATCAATTTGAGTTCTGAAAAACAGCAGATCTGTAATGTACTATTTTATGATTGCCATTAGAGGACATTTATAAGGAAATATAAAGCTATTTAGAATGAAGTTTATGATTGTATTAAGAAATTATGAATGCAGTGACTTACTGTTTATTGAAGAAATAGGGCTGGCTTCCCAACCTTTGAGACAGGGCCTGGCAGCACTGGTCGACATCTTCATACACCTATTGAAACATGTGAAGAGAAGATGTGAAAAAACCTCTAGACTTCATATTAACACATATGTAATAAGATTTATTATTATTTTATTATTTATATAGCGCCATCAGACTCCGTAGCGCTGTACAATGGGTGGACTGACATTTATTATAATGTAATATTTAGAAAACAAACCAAAGTAAGCCACGCCAGAGTGATGCATAATGCAGCCTCTCTTGTACTGAAAGGGTTAAATACAATATTACCATGTATACGGTGCCATTTCAGAAGATAACAGATAATTAGTAATGCATTGCAGACTGTATTTAGTGAATATTGAGAAATACAAAACAAGCAAGATCAGGGTGGCCACCTCCATGCCCGTTCTCAGGGTCCACCTCCAAGGAGGTGTGCAGAGTGGATACAGAGTGTGTGTGTGAAGTGGACACGGTGTGTGTTAGTGCATGTGTACTGTATGTGTACTGAATGCAGATACATGTTACACACACACACAAACACAATGACACAGTGACACACACACATACATATATATATATATATATATATATATATATACACACACATACACACACACAATACACCGTCACTTCCACCCAGCAAAGGCAGTGGCTGCCATCTTTAAAGTGGCTCGGTCGCGCTATGAAAGGGCTGCAGAGTTGACCGGGCTCCAGAAGACACATGCCCATCGGGTGGCTTTAAGTGCATGGGCCACCCGATGTGCCCCATCAGCGTGCGGGCCCCAGTGCACCTGCACCGGCTGCAGTTCCACCGCTACAGATAGGTAATATGGGTCCCGGGTCCCAACCATGACAACCAGTTGGTTATCACCCTCATGATGGCAGCCCTGGATGAGACTAGCAGAGACGTGCAAGGGAATAGTTTACATGTTACATAGTGAAGAACAAACCATGTAAGTCACTTACGGGATTTTTCACTAAGTGAGAATTGTTGGGAATTCAAATTTAAGGCCAAGGTAGCCAAGCTAGAAGTGTAGCGGACTTGAAGAATGTTTTCAGTTTGGCTTTTCTGGCCTTAAATTATCCTCATTTAAAACCCATGTTCACACCATACAGGTAGAAATCAAGACTATACACAGCTGCTCCTAAAAACAAGAAACATGGGTACTATTGTGTATTTTTGTGAGCAATCTACATGGCAAAGTGTTAGAAGAATTATTTTAGCAGTAACCATAGAGAGATAGATAGAACCAGGCAGCACATAAAAAGAAAGACTATTTAGTGTTCTCACCGTCATTTCAATGTAATTGCAAACACAGACTGGTTTGATATTTGGGTATTACAGACATTCTTAAATCTATTTACTGTATTTCCATCATCTCTTCCACAGCATCGCAGTCCCTATATCTTCTGCATGCTTCCTTTGTTCTAGCATACCATTTCCTTAAATGCTTAAAAGACCCAGATATGACAATCAAAACAATCTTCCTTGTGCTGCAACATTGCATTTAACAAACTGCTAGGCAAAGGCTATTATATTAAATTTAGGGGTGTGAAATATATTTTGTGGGAAAAAAGAAAATGTATCTGCATACAGCAATGGGTTATAGTGAGGTCTTCTCCATGGAAGGGAGAACTGCTTATATAAAGAGGAGAGATAGCAATGACATTACATGTAAGGATAATAGGTTTACATAAAACGTAATTTTATACAGCTGACGATTTCTCTCCGATGTTTTATCCATACTGATTTTCAAGCTGATAAAACTAATAACTGGCTGAAAGCTGAAGTCAGGCAATTTTTTAAGTTTAAGCAATACCACAAAAACTGCTCAAATTTTGTGAATGAGAATCATTGTTTTGCAAAGTACATATTATTTTCAATAATATATACCCACTCTTATCCTGATCATTTAACACTTACATTTAATAATTTACAGCAATGTTTTACTATTTTATTGCTGAAAGTATAGGACATAGGTAGGAAACTTCCGGCACTGCAGACATTGTGAACTACATCTCCAATAATGTTCTTACAACTATAACACTGGCAAAACATCACAGGAGATGTAGTCCACAAAATCTGGACTGCGAAGGTTGTCTACCCCTGGTCTAGGGTGCCCTATCATAGCTGTTCAGTAAGAACCGTAAAATCTGTGCCACAACAGCCAGGTCCTAATTGAGTCAGCTATTGGGTTGAGCAAAATGCTGTCGTATAAAAGGTCCACTTTAATGTTCCTTCTGAATCCATTGGAGACTTTAAAACTCAATCAGAATCGTAACAGGGTATGTAGAATCTAATGGACACTTATACAGGATATGCACACACGTTTTGTCAGATGAAACAAAATTATGTGCTAACTACAACAGATAGTACCACAGATGATCATTACAAAAGGTCCTGCATTGCAATACATCTTAAAAAAAACCAACATGTGATTTAAAGAGGACCTCCCATCCACATTTTCAGATACAAAAGCAAGCATCAGCTGAAAACCAAAATTTCATCTATTTAACGTGCAACCTATTCCCTTGCACGTCTCTGCTAGTCTCATCAAGGGACGCCATCAGGGGCCTATAGATTGTACAAAATTGCCAGCCAATGTTTAGATTATTAGATATGCATACGGATAGAACTGCATCAGCCATCTTCAAGACCACAGTAGATGAAAATATATCTGTCCCACCATCAAATGAGGAGTGTAATATCCCACAATGCCTTGCATTTTAATGCAGGCATACACACTAGAGCAGACATATTTTAGTAGCTGTAAGCGTATAGGCCAACCTATTTTAAAGATTATTACATGATATATAATGGTAATAGTTTTAGTCCTGGGGTGAACATGTATCTAGTCCCATGATCATCCAGAATAAAATAACAGATTAAAAAAAAAATGATCAAAGTCTTCATTCTCTCTTATTTTCCAATTACAAAACATCTCTTTCTCCACGAGATTTATATAACTCCCCCAGTGTTTGCAGGAGAAACTCAAGTTGGCAAAAATATAAAAGAAAATATAAAATTTGATGTGTGTGCAATGCTCTCCTGAATTTGTTGAGGAATTTGTTAAAATATGCGTGCATCTTTTACCATGTTGTTCGATAATGATCAAAAATGTAATCTGGATAATTAAGCACATATTTTTCCATTTGCAAAACTACACAGTGCAGGATTTGTTTATGTGTGGTCTCTTAATTAGCTGGGAAATATTTGGAATGCCTGTTGTTATAGAGTTTTATATCCTTGGAAAATCAGACAAGAGAGTCAGCTATTACTGGCTGGTACAGTAGATACTGTCAAATGAGAATTACATTCAAATATAATTTGTACATAATTACTTTTAGGAGATGCTGAATAGCCTTCCAGCAGTATGAATTTTGATGTTCACAACTGCAATATTCTATCTAAATAAGATCTGGAGAAAAAGGCTCACAAAAAGCGAAGAGAGAGTAGATACACAAGAAGAAGACAGAACAAATGGAGGAGGTTAGCATGGAATAGACGGGAGTGAGAATGAAAGACCAAATACTAAGAAATGAGTAGATGGATGGGGAACAGCAGATGTACAAACAGATTAGGTAATCAGGAATAAGGAGAGGGTAGAAGAGAGCAGAAAGTAAAGAGTCGATGACAGAGCTAAAGAAACGGTGCCAATTGGAAGAGGAACAGCAGATGTAAGTGAGATAGGGAGAAATTTGAAATGTAGATTACGGAAAGAAAGTATGAGCAGAGAAGGAAGAGATTTTTTAAGGACGGAGAGTGAACAAATAGAGGGTAGATGGGAGAGAACCTGAATGACGGTGAGGAGCAGATTACAGCAGGAAGATGGGAGGAAGAAGTAGATGGAAGAAGGGAAGGAGGAGAAAAGAAGGCACACAGACAGAATGAGAAGAGGTTGGTAATGGTACAGAGAATTATATATTCAAGATCTATATGTCAGCTATTTTGGCCATGTACATATCTATTCTGACAATTTTTCAGAGATAAAAAAATCAACAAACCCAATGAACAATATCTCTGAATTCCTTTTTCCCATATCATCTTAAAGAACTGTTGCTTAGTTCTCCTTCAGCTGGCTGCAAAATAACCGTGAAGTGTGGATTTTGTCATTGCAAACAACATACAGGAGATGCCAAATAGAAGGAACGTTTAATTTTGAGGGTAAACTGCATTTTCTAGCACAATGTGGATATAATTTTTAGTTCTCGATAAAATACCTCCACCCAGAGGCGTACTTGTGTTACCTGGCATCTGGCAACAACCCACTTAAACTGTACAAAAAAAAAAGAAATTTAGGGTCTTTATCTGCACCACCTCAATCCTTTTTTGCTGGGGAAATAACACACACACACATACTTTCATACACACAAATTGAGATTCATATACATACACAATCATATGCACACACTTACATTCATGCACACACACATTGATATCCACAGACACAAACACAGGGTCGGCGCATCCTATAGGCTAAGTAGGCGCCTACTTAGGGGGGCGTCAGCAGTGGCTTTACTGCTTGTCTGGCTGCCCCCCTATCAAGTGGGATTGATTATATATAGCGGGCCGTATTACCGGGAGCTAGGGAGTACTTACTTGTAGACAAGCACCCAGTAGAACATCGGTCCAGCATTCACCACAGCCTGCTAAATCAGGACCCCTCTCCCACTCAAGCACCGCTGCAGCGCAAGGGCGTGTCATTCGCTTGCTCCCGCCACTTTCCCTGTACTTGGGGATAAGGGGACGGGAGTATAACAGGAAATAGGGCTTGGGCAAAAAGGGTCGGCCGTAGTAAAGACAGGGATGAAGAGCAAAGTGCAACAAAGTTAAGAGAGAATGAACAATGTGTTTCATAGAATGTGTGTCAGTATGTTTCAGTCAGTATGTTTGTGTATGTCAGTCTGCTTGGGTCTGTGTGTGTATGTGTATGTATGTATAGGTGTGCATGGGTCAGTGTGTGTGTACGTATCGGTCTGTGTATAGCTCAGCGTGTGTCTGCATGGGTCAGTGTGTGTGTGGAGGGGGTCAGTGTGAGCGTATGTGTATGTGTGTGGGTCAGTGTGTGTGTGTGTGTTTGTATGGGTGAGAGTGTAGGTGTATGGGTCAATGTATGTAAGTCTGCATGAGTGGGTGGAACGAATGGGGCGGCAACATTTTTTTTGCCTAGGGCGGCAGAAATCCTTGCACCGGCCCTGCATAAACACAAACATTCATGTACACGCATAGACTCACACGCATTCATATACAAATAATATAATATAAATAATTAGTTTAACACTACAGTGTTCTTTTAATGGACAGTGAATAGCCTACCTTTATCAGTCTTATAATACAGAACCATTTCAAATACTATAGGAGGATTTTATTTTCCACAAATCTCCATTCTTGTCCTTTGTACAATTATTACTATTATGATATTATTTATATGGCGCCAACAAATTCCGCAGCACTTTACAATGGGTGGACAAACAGACATGTAGTTGTAACCAGACAAGTTGGACACACAGGGACAGAGGGGTTGAGGGCCCTGCTCAATGAGCTTACATGCTAGAGGGAGGGGGGTAAAGTGACACAAAGGGTAAGGATGGTATTAGACTAATGACAGTTGCAAGAGAGGAATCAGTCGGGAGCTGGCCATCAGGGAATGAACTGGCTATTTGAATTGGTCCAGTATATACTTGTATAATGCTATTCTAACCCATGTATGACTAGACAAACATTTTTAAGCTTTTATTTTAGGAAGAGAAATTACTTTTTAATGCCTTATCTAAAACGAAGAACAGAAACATTGTCAATGTGTTCCTTTGTACTTGCATCTACAAATCATATTCTGTCATTTTTGAGACTACTTATGATCACATTCTAATGTTCTACAGTCATCAGTGAAATACAATATACTTAGAATTTTTTTTATTTATTTAACCATTCCAATTTACTAACCTGGTCTAGAGTCTTTCCAGCCCAGCCAATGGCTTTCATCTTGCGTTTTATTTCCCATTTCTTTTGGAGAACTAGAACGTAGTTTAGAGGCCATGAATAGGGGGAACTGTACCGGGGCTGAGTAATCTGTAATGGAGTACAACAATCGTCACCACTAAAAATGATTTGCAGAAGTGTAGGTAGGAACCGCACTCAATCCCTAAGCAGCCACCCGGTGCTCCGAAGCAGGACCAGCAATCCCACAACAGCAAAGCAAATAGGAGAAAAATCTCCAGGCACTCAGCATGTTAAAGCCGCAGGCAGGTTTACTGAAACAGAAAGGACAGCAACGTTTCGACCTAACAAGCTTGACAGGTCCAAGCGTTGCTGTCCTTTCTGTTTCAATAAATCTGCCTGCAACTTTAACATCCTGAGTGCCTGGAGATATCTTCTTCTATTTGCTTCACTAAAAATGATTTGATTAATAGTAATAGTCAAAAATTATACTTTCCAGAAAGAAATGCAGAGATGGCATCAGTAAATATTTTCTTAAAATATTATTTCTTATTATTTCTTACATCGAAAATTGCCAACAGCTATATTAAATATTTCCAGACATACACAAAAATGTATATGCCAGCAGAAAGATACTGAGAAGAAAAAAAAAAAAAAACTAAACAGTATCAACTAATGGTATAAAGCTCAATGTTTCATTTATGAAGAGGGACCTACAATTGTGAGCAAAAGTGTTTTCTCATTAAAATTTAACCAAGATAAATGCTTCCGAGCCACTCACCTCCTCTAGTGTAGCTTCATCACACCACTGAATATATAACTGCAAGAAAATAAAAAGATAATATACATTTTGCTAAACAGAAAAATAAGGGGCTTGGGGGTATGTTTACTTGAATGTATGACTAGGCTTTCACTGGGAAAAAATATCATATTAAACAAGCAATTCCATGTCTGCAAAATATCTGTTTGTTTTTGTCATTTATATTTACACAGCATTATATATAAAACCGGCAGAAACAAGCAGGCTTCTTCCATGTCAGAAAAAAAAAACAAGCCAAATATTTAAATAGCATTAAAATGCTTGATGGTTCACAGATTAAATATTAGAATATATAACATGTAAGGTACAAAAACGCTTTCCACTATAAATGTTTTCTTTTCTTTATTTAATACACAAAGCCAAATATTGTTAGAAATCTTCAGAACAGTACAATTATCATTGAGCTCACATGCATGTGCAACAATATATGCTTGTATCCCTTCAGATAGTGCATTTGAAATGGGAAGTCTTGAACCAGGCTGTAATCAGGAATGCATCTTTAATGCCACAAGATCTCCATGTGGCCCTCTGCATTCCCCTCACCGCCACCTTTTCTGGACCTTGCCCCATAATATCAACAACGACATTTGGTGCAATGTGTAGGTTAGATTCCAATTAAATGTGCTAGGTGTTTTTTTAATGTTTTGTATTGATCACTAGTTTAAAATAAATAAATAAATAAGTTTTGCTCCATAAGTCCTACCCTCCGAGGTGTTTCACCTATTTGCTCCAAAAACACTTCTATAAAAGATATCATAATCTCAGTTTATGGGACTTGTAACTGGAAGCTTTTTGTATAAGAATGCTGACAAATGAACTACAGCACCCAATGATCATTGCTGTTTCCATAAACCACTGCTTACAGAATAAGCTCAGCAGTGATATAAAAAGTTAAAGCGACTGTTACCTTCTGGGGTCTTTGCATATTTTGCAAAAGACCACAGATGTTGGCTATGCTGCTTGCAGCGAGGTGGCTATTGGGTGCAAGAAAAGGTGGGCTTTATATGCACCCGAACCGGTCCATCATGGCTGTCGCCATCATCATCTGCTAGGACGTCTTCAGTTCCTGGCAGTTCATCTGCCAGGAGCCAATGTCAGTGCTGTAATCTTGCGCTTGCGTCAGAAAACAACACTAATGTCTTTGGAGTGTCCCACAAGGTCACGGGATCCTCCATTGCAGATGCTTTTTCACCTCTGTTGTCACTAGTGATAGTTGAGAGCTACACAAAGTTTACTCAACTTTTTGTTTTTGTTTTGTGATAACTTTTGACTGGGCTGGAATTTCAAGGAAATTCAAGAACTATCTTTATGAGTTTTTTTAACCCGATTTTTTATTTTTATAAAATGCATTTTTTAGAAAGAATTTTGGGGGAGAAGAAGGTAGGTATATAATTTCCTTATTTGGCAATAGCTTGCCGAAAATGCTTTTTTTATTATTATTTTTTATAAACACTTACTTGTATATATTTTACTGAATCATCAACACATTAAAAAGAATGGATCAAACCAAGCCTGCAGTAATGATTTACCGAGGGAAAATAATGGCTGCACACAAAGATCCATTCTGTCCAGTGATTACATCAGTACGGTGCCTATCCAGAAAAAGAAGCCATTTATATACCCCTACATCCTCTGACCATTCACCACACTGTGATAAGTTGGATTTTGCATCGTTCAATGACAATGCAGCATTTTAACAAACCTCACTGGAACACCTATAAAGTAGGCAAAAAATACATTTTCGAACACATTTTCCAATGGCGGAACTCAAGTAAACAAAGAGAGGTTTGGTTCCACATGACAAGAGGTTATACAACGCTTTGCTCTTAACCTTTGTCTATCTTCCCAAGTGATCTAGTGAGCAAGTAGTTACTGCACTACTGCTGGCACATGCCTACAGTGCGTTCCTTTACATTCCTTTTGTGACTTAATGAAGCAGAACCTATATTCTGGCACAATGTTTCACATAGCTACACAAGGACATTAAAGGAGTACAGTATAGAGAGAAAGAAGTCTGTGCCTGAAGCAGGAGCACTGCTCCCTTAGGATGGAAAATCCCTGTCTACGCAAATCCCAGGGGAGAGACGTAAAAAGTCTTCCAGCAGAAAAGAGAATACCAAGAAGACTTAGACCAAAAATATTGCCTTTTACATTTATTGTTTTATGAATGAACATGAACTGCCCCATGCTTTACTATAACATACTGTACCTCTGCAGTCAAAAGCATATTATTGACCAGTTCCATATAGGCCTTCATTTCTGCTTTTTGAACCTCATCCAAACCATCGCTGAGTGAATTACCCTATTGGAAAATACAGAACACAAGTGTGAAACATGACTATGACAAGAGGATTATTATTTAATTATTTCATCCTGAGGTCTCAAGTGACAAGTTCTCCTACCATGCATATCCATCAAAACAACTTTATAAAAAAAAAAAAAAATATGTTTTAAAGGACCACTAAAGACACCCAGGATACTTCAGCTCAATGAAGTAGTCTGGGTGCAGTGGCGCTTTAGTTTTAAACCTGCATCAAAAACACTGCCGTTTAGTAGCTACGCCAATGTTATGACTGCAGCGTTAACACACCACTAGTGGCTGTCTTCCTGATATCCATTAGAGGCACTTCCACGTTGAGATCAAAGTCAAACTCGGTTCTCTATCAAGTGCTGCTCCTAGAGAACATTTAATTGGTGTAGCGCTGTGATTTCTCGCACATGCGCATTAGCTATGAGGAAGCATTGGATTGGCTGAGATAATGAAGATTGATGATCTCAGCCAAGGGGGAGCACAAACTGCAGCAAGACCAGTGTGCCGCAAGATATAAGGCAAGTACATTTATTATTTTAATCCTTGCAGGGGTGACATATAGTCTGTTGTCATGTTTGTATTCATGATGCTATAGTGTAACTTTAAAGTTGTTTCACAAGACTGTAGCATTGTTACAGTATGGTTTATAACAGTATGGCTTATAATAGGGCCATTTTGAAGGAGAAGCAGCATTAGAGGGATCTGCACAGAGGATGTTGTAGGCCAGGGGTATGCAACCTTCAGTACTCCAGTAGTTGTGGACTACACCCCCATAATGCCCTTACACCCATAATGCTGGCAAAGCAATATGTGGAGGTGTAGTACAAAACATCTGGGGTGCCAAAGATTGCCTATGCCTGTTCTAGGCTATAATTTGCATCATTCTCAAACAGAAAACAATTGGAGTTACAGTATAATGTATCCATTGTGTCCACATGGGTTAGAAGCTAAATGCTGGATTACAACATGGGGTACATTGCTATGCTTTTCATGATACATTTATTCGAATTGTTATCATGAAGCTCACTATTCTGTTAAAGTGAAATATACCTTCAGATGTTGTACAAATGCATTCCCCATGATTCCAGTAAACAAAACAAAAAATCAAAAGAGTGCTAAAGTATTAATAGCTGGACAGGTAAATCCACAAGCTGCTGTATGCACATCATATTACCATTATTATAATACATCTCTGCTATGCAGTGCATACAATGTTTCCATTAAAATAATCAGGAGGACCAGGATTGGCTGAGAGGATAGCCACTTCATTATGTATGATATAAAAGGCATTAATCTCCAGGTGGGAGCATCCCTTTACTATAGTGAATTATTTTGCCCAATGGAGCAAAAATGGCACAATTTTCCCACTGTAGCAGCATAGACTGCAGGAACTTAACAATGGTTGAACTGTTCCGAATATTAGGGTATAGTGTACATCCCGAATTACCTAACTTACCTTGGCTTTTACAAACTGAACTATGGGACCCAGTTCAGATACAACTTGGTTTCCAACATGAATAAATGGAACTTTTCCTGGGGAACAAACATACCACATTAATAACCAACGTATTAAAGCAGAGAGAGGGCATTGAAACGCCAATTAATTTGTTATTTTGAGATATATACACATACACACATATATACATATGAGCAGATACACACTTTAATGACACTTTACTGACAGGACTGTCACAATCTGTGAGTCAAGCACTGCATTCAGAGTTAGTATTAATATTGTGTGTATATAGTGTACACAATCTGGAAAGAAGTCCAATAAATAAATTATAATAATTGCAAAATCATCCAAACTGAGCATACAGTCGTCTAGTTTCTATACATGAAGATACCTGTTTTTCTTTATCATACTTTATATAGTTTATATGAATGCTTGGATTTGTCATTGTATTTGCCACTACTGTTTCTACCACATCTAACTGCCATTATTTAATGGAAGGGACACTTTAAGCACCATAACCAATACAGAGATCTGTAGTTGTTATGGTGCCTGGAGTTCCCAGGCCCCATCTGGCAGTACTTCTTCAAACCATTTACAAACATTGCCATACTTAATTTGCTGTGTGGGAGCCCGTGCCCCTTCCCAGCAAAGTTGTTCTGATAAATTAAGTTTGTACTTCACAATTAGCATACCAACTCATACCAGGTTTAAACAGCATTCATTGTGTGAGCATGTCAGCTGACTGCTCTCAGCCAATGAGTGCTACTTAAACCTAAATTATGTAATAACTCAGAAATATAAACTTCCGCTTTATCAGATTAACTCAGCTTGGGAGGACTGCGGGCACTTGACACAGCAAGATAAGTGTGAAACTGTTCATAAACGGTTTGACAGATTAACCTTGGATGGTGACAGGGGTCCGCAAGCTGTGGTGATTATGGTGCTTAGCATGGGAAACTTGTTATCTTGCTACACACACACACACAAAAAAAAAAAAAAAGATATATATATATATATATATATATATATATATATATATATATATATATTTTAAACCCTCCTAAAAAACGAATACAAATAGTTGGAATAATAAAATGTCATCTTAGCAAGAAAACTAAATAATGCATCTGACAGCAAACAGACAAATGTGTTTATTATATGAAATTACAGGTAATTCCTTGTGGGAATCACATAGAATTTAAAGAACAATTTGAAGCTTCGTCACCAAATGCTGTCCCTCTAGCACATGCAGGAAACCTGCTGTTAGACCTGGTTCACACAAAGTTCAGGAGAACAGCAGGCTCTGTCATGGTGCCTTTCAATAGATTCCCTCTTCTCTTGCTCACAGTCAGCCTAAGGGTAATGGATGAGGTGCATTGCACCAACAAAGGCCTCATCTGCATGCATCCTCTAATGTGTATCACAATAGAAATTGCAAGGAGTCAAAGCTCTCATTCAGACTGTATGAGCATGTTCTGGACTGGAGAGATCTTTTCAGATTCTGGCATCCATACTCAGTATTTAAGACCTCCCTACGATTCTTCATCTCAGGGGGAAAGACATAGGTTGCGTATTAATGCAGTAAAACAAGGCTGACAAATGTGTGTGGTATTTAGAATCAAGATTAATAATTTGAGGAGTCAGCTTGACGATTTAAGAAGCCAGTACATGGACACAATTCTATCGACTATAACCAGAAATACTGTGAATTTCAGGTATTTGATGGCCTCTCAATGATCAAGCTAATGAATATATAGAAATAGAATAGTAAATGAAAAAGCATATTTTATTTCTATAGAATACCAAAAGTTCTAATAAAAGAACATAATAAAAACATTAGACCAACATTTATACTTTTGTATAAAAACATTTATACAAAAGTATAAAATGATGGCAATTTAAAGTGAATTTAAAAATGTAGGCCACAGCTGGAAATTTAGTGAATTGTTTACATCTTCACATTTTGGCCTAAAATTTAAATTCATTTCGAAGTCAAAATAATTACCATATCAACAAATGATGTGTTTACTAAGTTTCAGGCATTAAAATTATTATGTAGCCATTGGTTAAAGGAACACTATAGTCACCTAAATTACGTTAGTTAAATAGAGCAGTTTTAGTGTATAGATCATTCCCCTGCAATTCCCCTGCTCAATTCACTGTCATTTAGGAGTTAAATCACTTTGTTTCTGTTTATGCAGCCCTAGCCACACCTCCCCTGGCTATGATGGACAGAGCCTGCATGAAAAAAAAAACTGGTTTCACTTTCAAACAGATGTAATTTACCTTAAATAATTGTATCTCAATCTCTAAATTGAACTTTAATCACATACAGGAGGCTCTTGCATGGTCTAGCAAGCTATTCACATAGCAGAGGATAAGAAAATCTTAATTAAACAGAACTTGCCATAAAGAAAGCCTAAAAAGGGCTCTCTTTACAGGAAGTGTTTATGGAAGGCTGTGCAAGTCACATGCAGGGAGGTGTGACTAGAGTTCATAAACAAAGGGATTTAACTCCTAAATGGCAGAGGATTGAGCAGTGAGGCTGCAGGGGCATGTTTTATACACCAAAACTGCTTCATTAAGCTAAAGTTGATCAGGTGACTATAGTGTCCCTTTAATTAAAGTACCACTATAGTGCCAGGAAAACACTCGTTTTCCTGGCACTATAGTGCCCTGAGGGTGCCCCCACCCTCAGGGACCCCCTCCCGCCCGGCTCTGGAAGGGGGAAAGGGGTTAAAACTTACCTTTTTCCAGCGCTGGGCGGGGAGCTCTCCTCCTCCGATCCTTCTCCTGGGCTGAATGCGCACGCGCGGCAAGAGCTGCGCGCGCATTCAGCCGGTCACATAGGAAAGCATTCATAATGCTTTCCTATGGACGCTGGCGTGCTCTCACTGTGAAAATCACAGTGAAAAGCACGCAAGCGCCTCTAGTGGCTGTCAATGAGACAGCCACTAGAGGAAATAGGGGAAGGCTTAACCCATTCATAAACATAGCAGTTTCTCTGAAACTGTTATGTTTATGAAAAAATGGGTTAAACCTAGCTGGACCTGGCACCCAGACCACTTCATTAAGCTGAAGTGGTCTGGGTGCCTAGAATGGTCCTTTAATGAAAACCACTTAAAATTGTTCTGTTTTACAAAAGGGGAAACAGGGCTTTCATTTAATATCAAATATTTAGCTATGAAACATAATTTAATATGAAATAAATTGGAGAAAATAAGATTTTTTTTATTTTTTTAGTTCTACATGACATTTTAACTGTCAATGTCATAATACTGTCTGCATTTACTGCAATAAAATACACATATTTGGATTCAGCAAAGTCTCACGTGTAAAACAGTATCCCCTATGTACAGGTTTTATAGCGTTTTGGGAAGTTACAGGGTCAAATATAGCACGTTACATTTGAAATTGAAATTCGCCAGATTGGTAACGTTGCCTTTGGGACTTTATAGTAGCCCAGGAATGAAATTTACACCCATAATGGGTATGTCCATTCTTTTTTAGTAGCCATTTGGTCACAAACACTGGCCAAAGTTAGCGTTAGTATTTGTTTGTGTGAAAAATGCAAAATATGCCAGTTTTGGCCAGTGTTTGTGACTAAGTGGCTACTAAAAAAGACTGGATATACCCCGTTTGCAATACCTTGGGTTGTCTACTATTGCAAATGGTATGCCATCATAGGGGTAATTTTCATTCTTGGGCTACCATAGGGTCTCAAAGGCACCGTAACCAATCTGGCGAATTTTAATGTGAAAAAAATGAAATGCACGCCTTATATTTGACGCTGTAACTTTTGAAAACACCATAAAACCTGTACATGAGGGGGTACTGTTGTACTCGGGAGACTTCACTGAACACAAACATATATGTATGTGAATCTATATGTGTATGAAGTGGTATGGGTGCCTATATTGGTCCTTTAATCAATTAGCTTTTTAGATGATTTCAGTCATCAAAGTGTTTGGATGGATGGATAAATGGATGGGGGATAAAAGGGTACAACATATTTAGTTTTTTGTTTCTTTTCAAATAGTTCTGTAAACCAATAATATTAAATACAGCTTTGTTTCAAAACATTTGTTCTTTAAAAAAAAAAAAAATGATATATATATATATATATATATATATATATATATATATATATAAATGTTTATTATATGTGAAGCATTGTGTACAGAAATTGAGCAACCAGTCGTAAGGTATGCATTGGTAATTAACTATATCATCTGGAAAAGAAAAAAAGAGTTATGATCATAGTTAAGTTTGATAAATGTTTTCACTTGAAATTGCAATATTATTATTTTTTTTTATTATTTTTTTAAACCTCTGGTAGAAAAGAATAATGTAAGCATATTAAAGGTACACTCCAGGGTGGACATAGCACCCATTTGTAAACATTATACAGATATGCATACGAAAACATGAAAATGCATCTAAAGGAATTATAGATATAGATCTCAGAATGGCCCACTTTCACAGCAATCCAATTCTCTTCCAGGAATGTCTGCTAATGGTACTCAATGACTAAGATCTTTTCTAACCCTGGTTACATTTTGCTTTCAATGAAATACATAAGCAAGTTGACATATATGTGACAAATACATACATATGTGCCCAATACTTTCTCAATGGTAAGTGTGCACCACCGTTCACATATATTATTTTATTATTGATATAGCGCCAGCAAATTCCGTAGCGCTGTACTATAATCCAATGCAGCAGCTTTTTAGAAGCCTTTGCGAGGGAACAAACCCTCTGTCTGGCTATCATGTCCCTTCTGAATTATTTGTACAATGAAATGAAGTTACCCATGAATGACAAACATTTGCTGCTTGTCATTGATTTCCAACAGATGTAAAGCATTCAGCAAAATGGTTTTATCAAGTACATACTTTTTGAAAGGGAAGACAAGGGGTGGGACTAGGACAGAAGACAGTTTAGCATCTAACATAACATTAATTGAGAAAGCCTTTTAGGCGAAACGCTTCTCAGCAGGACTATATTTCTGTTAAGTGCAATATATTGTTATATTATTGTTGTTTTTAGCATTTCATTATTTTGATTGTTTTTAATATTTTAATAAAAACTGCTTTATCACTTTATATAGTCCTACAATTTTTATCCAGTTTCAGCTTGCACAGTGGATAATGTCACCTTACAACAGACACCAGACTATTTATCCTCAGAGCCATGGACCTAAGGCTCTGGGTTACTTGAGAGTACTAAATCGCCCATTCTACCTGTTTTGAGATTTGTATTTATCTCTACATAAGGAAGGGGTAAGCATATTCCCCTATATCACTCATATGCATAGTATTGTTTTTGGTGGATCGCTCCACACTTTGTTATATAAGAGATTGATTATATATACATTATTATAGTTTTTTGTGTGAGGGTGAGGGAAAGAAGGTATCCCTTCATGTGAGTTTTTGAGCTGCTCGCACAGTTTTATTTACGTGCTATTGTCACACATTGGTTCTTACAAGAACACTGGCTTATTTTATTTTTTTTATATTCTATTATTCACTAGCAGGATGAACATTACAAAAAGTTTTAAAAAGTGTTCACTATTCTTGACATGTACTGTATATTTATTTTGCTGTACCATGTATGTTTGTGATGACATGTCTCAACCTGTCAAGTATTGTTCTCATTGCACTTACAAAGAAATAAATAAATAAATAGTATACTTTTTTTTTTTTTAGTGTGTATATAGTTTGAATATAGAGTAAGAGCTAACAGTTGTGAAATTTTGCAATCTCCATTTAACCCCTTAAGGACCAAACTTCTGGAATAAAAGGGAATCATGACATGTGACACATGTCATGTGTCCTTAAGGGGTTAAAGGGGCAGTTGGTCAAAACCTATTATCTGCAGGATCTGTGAATTAAATCATGATTTGCTTCACCAAACCATGATGTTTCACATAGAACGAGGGATACTACATGCTCAGTGAATGAATCATCTTCCGGTAAATTCACACCATAGGAGGGAATGAACTCTAGTAATTGGTTTGTACTCACCTGTCCATCCCTTAAGGCACAACAGACAGAGACAATCACTATACAAGGATTCAAAACTGCAATACTGTACATCAGTCTTAAACAAAGTCATGTTTTAATTCATGTATCCAGGGTTGTACCAAGCAAACCCATTAAGTACAAGTGGTCTAATCTGGTTAATTTTTTTATTCGGTACTCACAATGCAGATTACATTGAATCTTTCAAGACATAGTTTCTTAACTTATAACAGCCCCTAAATGACATACAAAATTGTTTTATGAGCTGTTTAGGCAATACGTACCACCTCTCCAGCTTTCCTTTACCGCCTAAGCAGGACAATCTTTCTCCATTATCCTGACATGCTAGCTTTATTAAGGTATCAGAACTGGGTGACATGTATCACTCCATTTTTATATCCCCCAAGTAAGCACATCTCACAGGAAATAGAATTATGACTAAAGGCAGTAAAACTGACTGCAGGAGGGTTCTCCTGCTCTCCCCAGTCACTCAGAGGTCTATGTTAACAACTGATTGACAGTTGTGGAAGGGGCCACATTTTTACCAAAGATTTATTTAAAAATCTGTACATTTGCTAGCAATTCCATTTGTACAGTATATATGATTTTTTTTTCTACTTTCACTTAAGTTACTTCTGTTTATACCATAGAAGTGGACCTGCATTCTGAAATGTTTTTCATGCAGCAAACAGACTGATGAGTATTATCTTTATTAAATCAAACTACAAGAATGTCATTATACAAGATAAATGGAGCAAGAGGACTGCACTCACCTAAACATACCAACATTATAAAAAAAAACTTGCTGTGATCAATTAAAGGAACACTATAGTCACCTAAATTACTTTAGCTAAATAAAGCAGTTTTAGTGTATAGATCATTCCCCTGCAATTTCACTGCTCAATTCACTGTCATTTAGGAGTTAAATCACTTTGTTTCTGTTTATGCAGCCCTAGCCACACCTCCCCTGGCTATGATTGACAGAGCCTGCATGGAAAAAAAAACTGGTTTCACTTTCAAACAGATGTAATTTACCTTACATAATTGTATCTCAATTTCTAAATTGAACTTTAATCACATACAGGAGGCTCTTGCAGGGTCTAGCAAGCTATTAACATAGCAGGGGTTAAGAAAATCTTAATTAAACAGAACCTGCAATAAAGAAAGCCTAAATAGGGCTCTCTTTACAGGATGTGTTTATGGAAGGCTGTACAAGTCACATGTAGGGAGGTGTGACTAGGGTTCATAAACAAAGGGATTTAACTCCTAAATGGCAGAGGATTGAGCAGTGAGGCTGCAGGGGCATGTTCTATACACCAAAACTGCCTCATTAAGCTAAAGTTGTTCAGGTGACTATAGTGTCCCTTTATTAGAACATACAGAATCCAGTACATGCTGAACTGTAAACTGTCTTCTAAGCCCACAAAATGTAATTTATTTGTAGAAACGGACTAAGCAAAAATAATGGGAACTTGGTTACAGTACAAGAACCTGCCTGTACCCCATGTAATCTTGCATTAGAAAATGCATTAGAAAAAGTTAAGAAATGTTCAGGTTTGGAGGCAGCCATTTTGTACCTGCATTATGTGTAAACATTCAGAAACAACTGTGAAAAAGGCTGCTGGGAATAGGGGATTCCAACAGTAACTATTTCTACATTTGAACAGATTATTATCCTGCATGCCACTGTGGGAATTTGAGTGTTCTTAAAGGACCACTATAGTGCCAGAAAAACACACTCGTTTTCCTGACACTATAGTGCCCCGAGGGTACACCCACCCTCAGGGTCCCCCTCCCATGGCGCTGAAGGGGGAGGAAGGGGTTAATCCCTTACCTTTTTTCCAGTGCTGGGACTCTCCTCCCTCTTCTGACGTCCCTGGCTGAATGTGCATGGGTGGCAAGAGCCGCGCGCGCATTCAGCCAGACCATAGGAAAGCATTGACGCTGGCGTCTTCTCACTGTGAAAATCACAATGAGAAGCGCGGAAGCGCCTCTAACGTCTGTCAATGAAATAGCCACTAGAGGCTGGATTAACCCATAGATAAACATAGCAGTTTCTCTGAAACTGCTATGTTTACTGCAAAAAGGGTTAATCCTAGCTGGACCTGGCACCCAGACCACTTCATTAAGCTGAAGTGGTCTGGGTGCCTATAGTGGTCTTTTAATTTATTTTATAGATTTATTGTAGTAATAATAAAAATACAAAAGTGAAAATAATACTAGTTTGAAGCAGTTTCAATGTATTTGCATATGGGTGTTAAGCGGTATGCTGATATCACAGGAGCCCAATTACATACCTCAACCCCAACACCAATCCCTGATTTAAGGAAGTAAAAAACATTCTTCTCCCAAATTAAGACTGCAGATGGAAATGTAGAAAAATGCATAGCTGGAGATTTTATCTAAACGTGTTCACTATCAATATTATAGCTTCATGTGAGTGTAATTGTTGCACCTCCAGACTACGGTAGAACAGGAAATTCTATTAGTTTAAGCAGAGCATAAATGTTAAACTAAACATTGCATTTTAATATAATAATTATTAAAATGCATTATGGCTCAATATATTATTTAATCTCTACGTGACTTGTGAAAGGTCACAAACATTGCAATGAAAAGTGGTATGCCAAACAAAAGCAATTACCTAACTTTCCCGAATTGAACTTTATACCTGTTAGCCATAGAGTCATCAACTGGACGTTTAGAACAAAACGATGGATGGAACACATATTCAATTCCTAACATGAAGTTTTACAGCACTGGGAGAAGTGCTATTTTAGATAACAATTTAAAGAACTTTAACATCACTTCTCATATATGGATACACTTTCACTTTAAAGGGTATTTTTTTTACCATGACCTGAAAACCTGTAGATGCTTGGATACATTCTGCATGTTGCTGAACAAACTATCAACTACCTCTTAAAGTTCAAATGGGCAGGGGGCGGAGCTTGCGGCCAACGAGGGTAGACGCCATCTCAGCCAGCTCCCCGCAATTCGCCTAAAACCCACCGAAAATCGCGGGCATCCTACCCCATAAGGCGACGCAACCCGGCCGACCTACCTCACCGAGAGTTCCTGCATCCGTCGATGCCGTTCTTCCAGCCGCCCAGACAGGCAAAAATAAAACGCAGGTCTGGGGCCTACTGCGCAACGCCAGCCTACAGCCAGGACGACCTACTCGCAACCGGCAGAGTGGGACACAGCCTGCAACTCCCAGACACCTCATCCCCACATCAAATGCCAGCAATGGGACGTCGGTCCCAAAAACCACACACAGCGGCAGAGTGCAGGGATATTGGCACCATGCTGCAACGACCGGCGCCGGGCAAAACACCCTCCACAGAGGTACTGCAGCCTACACACATTGAAGCCACGAGGCAGAGTGATGAGGTAGGGATCACACAAGCCCTGCAGACAGATCAGGCCCCATCCCAAGAGCCCTATGATGGCACAGCTCCCACTACCAAAGCTGATTTAAAGGCACTGCTGGCAGACATACACAAGGTCTGGGCTGCAGACCTCCAGCAAATAAAAGCAGACATACAGGCAGTCACAGGCCGAGTAACAAGCTGAAACAAACATCGGCAGCATTAACTCTGACTTGACCACAATTAAAGACACAGTTACTCAGCTCCAAGTGCACCAATCAGCCTTGTCGCTCAGGCTGACGGCCTTTGAAGACAGACTACGCCGCAACCATGTTAAGATAAGGGGAGTCCCTGCTAACATTAGCGCAGATGAACTACCACACTATGCCAGGCGATTGATGGCGACCATCTTACCTCACCCAGTGACCAGGAAATTAACCATTGAAGGAACATTTCGACTACCAGGCTCACCCACGGCAAAACCAGGCCAAATGCAAGACGTCATACTCCGCTGCGCCACCTCTCAGGATAAGGCCCAGATTATGCTAGCCCTGAAGGGTAAAACACCGCTGTCCTTTGAAGGCGCCTCTCTAACCTTCTACCAGGACCTCACATGAGCCACACTGCAATGGCGCAAATCATTGGCACCGATCACTTCCCAACTCAGAACAGCTGGGGTGACATACAGATGGGGCCCCCCTGGAACGCTATATGCTACGCATAACGGGACTGTCCACACACTAGAAGCAGGGGCAGATATACCCTCTTTCCTTGCATCACTAGGCATAGCAGGCCAGACCGTAAGAACACAAGACAAACCATCCAAAGCCTGGGACCCAGTGAACACGGCCATATTCACACCGAGAGCCGCCACATCAGGGGAAATGGAGCCTTAGCAGGACTGAACACTAAATACTTAAACGCAACTCGACAAGACAGCCGAACACCCCAACAAAGCCGTACTGTTTAAAATGTGTTCAACGTTTAGCATTAATGCTTCAGTTTATGTTTTTAAACTACACGACGGCTAGTCATGAAAACCCGAATTTGGGTTGACAATTACACGACCGAGATGGCGATTACCCCCCATAATCCCCAACAAATACCCCCCTCAGGAGTGGGCGAACTACACAATGGAGCGTATATACCCACACCCTCACTCTCTTCCCTACACTAGTTATACACTAACCCTCAGGCACGAGACCTACCAACTCACCTGATGCTCACTAGGCAGCCCTGATACCACACACCCTGGCAACCAGCTCAGTATAGAGCCTACTCAGTCAGATGCAAAACGTGACCTACCCACAGAGAAGCAACATACACAATACTCCCGAACCCTTAAGTGACAATCCCCCCCCCCCAAGGGATCACTATATGGCACCTACACAGGGCTTCTTCAGCCTGACCTAACTTAAGATGATGAAAAGCAAAATCTCCTCCTCATGCGCCTAGACCATCTCAGACAAAACGCTAACCTACACCCAATCAAACTAGGCATACTTGTCTAACACATACAATCTATCTATGAGATGCAAATCTCATATAGGAGATTACTTAACTTAGCTTGTTCATACAACTCATTAAATGTAAAAATGTGCAAGTTTTAACGCATAACTTACCTATGTTCAAATAATAATGCGCTTGTGGAAGCTGTTGTGGCTATACAAGCACTGCTGTAAACCCATGCACAACAAAAATAAAGAATTAAAAAAAAAAAAAAAAAGTTCAAATGGGCAAATAGTGAACATAGTTCAACTAGTTAAAGCTAGACTGACTTCATCTTCAGCAAAGAGGAGGTTCAATGGAAATAACATTCTAAGAGCAAATTCCATAGTAGAGTCAAAAGGGTATGTTTGTCAAAGACAGGTGGGGGAGGAAGCTTCTTTATTCGTGTTATTCTTCTCCCCACACGGGTATTTCTTTTTCGCACCATTTTTAATTCACGTTGCGGCAGAGAATTGCTTGTTTTGTTATGGAAGAATAAACATGTTCCATATTAAAGAATAAAATTGGTATATGCACGCTGTGAATTACAAAGTGATAAAAATGGTGTGGTATATGGTAGATTTTGTTTGAAAGCACATTAGGTAAGATTTGGGCTAAATGACCATATAGAAAAACAAAAATGGGCATTCTGGAAAAAAATGGTTTAGAGATGTATCTAATAGTACGAGACAAGTTTTGCTAACTTCTTGAAAATCTAGTAAATTTATTTCATGGTCAAATACACATTTGTCACACACGCTAGAGAAACCTTCTGAGGAGTAAACGTGATTATAGTTATATCAACCCTTAAAAATGATTAGTTGCTAGCGATAATTTTTTTATGAAGTACAGGTGGTCCTCACTTTACCACCTACCTGTTTTACGACGGCTCGCACTTATAACCAGCTCTCTAGCGTGGGGATTCAAGGGATTCCCCACTTTAGAGAGTTGATCTATGTTGGGGAATTTTCTCCGAACATAGATTTCAGCGATTCCCTGTGCTATTGAGCTAATCTATGATCGGGGAAGTTTTCCCGAACATAGATTTCAGTGATTCCCTGCGTTATTGAGCTAATCTAGGTTCGTGGACGTTTTCCCGAACATAGATTTCAGCGATTTCCTGCACTAGTGAACTGGTGTATGTTCTGGGAGATTCACCACTAGCGCATCCTCACTTATCGACCAATTTGTTTTATGACCAGGTCGTAAGAACGGAACCCGGTTGTTAAGTGAGGAGTGTCTGTATTACTCCCATTTACTGGGATTAACCTAGCCATGCTTTGTTTAACAAGATGTAGGCTCCTTCATACCAAAAAAGTTTTGCAGTAGTCACATCATACACCATTCAAAATTCCAACTGAAAATACACTTACCTACAGACTAGACTTATATCAGTTTAAAGTATATTGCAGGATTGTGTCAATTTTACTACTCAAATTTAATTTTTAACGATCAGTTTCATTCATATGACCTTAAGGTTCTTAAAGGAATACTATAAGCATCAAAACAACGTTAGCTAAATAAAAGTAAGCTGGATCACAGCTCACAAGCCGGCCTTTCATTACATTTTGTATTGGTCTGTGTATATCTGTCTTTTTCCTCAATTGTACGGCGCAGCAGAATATGTTGGCACTTTATAATAATGATAATAATACAAGTTTTGGTGTACAGATCACGCCCCTGCAGTCTTCCTGGTAAAATCTCTGCCATCAAGAAGTTAGATCATTTTTTTTTTTGTGAAGGGAGGCTGTGTGAGTATCACTCAGAGGAGATGTGGCTGCAAAAAAAGTGATTTAATTCCTAAATGGCAAAGAATTGAGAAGTGACACTGCATGGGTTGTGGTCTACACACCAAAACTACTTCATTAAGTTAAAAGGTGTTTTGGTGCTTAGACTGTCCCTTTAACATGTACAGAAATATGTACTGTGCATATGCATTAATAGTTTTGTGGCTAAGTTACATTGAGCAGGTCTTTGTAATCTAAAGTACATGGTGTAACATAGTTATATCCATGTATCTCTAACCAGAATACTGGCTCAAAAGTTTACGAATAGCACCTAAGTAATCAGAGAATTTTAATAGAATCTCCAATCTTTCAGCATTCAGTGCTCATCAAAGAGATCGCAAGCAGTCAAATAGCAGAACAAACAGAGAATACAGCATCACCCACGGCGAGCATAGCAGATTGTGCTACCGGCATCTATGCAAACACTAGATACATTTCTAGCCTTAAGGGCACTAACATTTGGCATCATGTATGAATTATGTTTGTTGGTTTGTCATTTGTTTTGTTGGCTTATCTTATTTCATAACTAAAGAAATTCAAAGTGCAATGATACTGGAATCCTTTGTCTGCTGACCTTACTAGAAGAGCTCCCACACATTTATATTTAAAAGAACACTATAGCTTTAGGAATTCAAAAGTGTATTTTTAACACTATAGTGTGTACCTGCTGATACTCATGTGTGGTGGGCACTGTGAACATCCAAAGGTCAGTGCACCCAAACCACTTCATTGAGATGAAGTTGGCTAGGTGACTATAGTGACCCTTTAATCAATAAAGGCACATGCAATCCACTGATATGTCTACAACCAAAAGGATTACATGCTTTTAAATCCATTTGAGTTATAGTAGTAGCACTGGGAAATGTAAAATGTATTCAAGATGCCCTGGCAATTAAGCGAGTAGGATGGGGGTATATATATATATAATTATTATTTAATTAAGTGCCAACAAATTCTGCGGTATTGTACAATGGGTTGACACAAAAGACAAATTACATTTCTAAGCCATTTTGTGTGTATGTGTGTGTATATTTTTTTTGTATAAATATATACACACATATATACAATTGATATAAATGTATATCCAAGATAAATTAGATATATCTTGTTAAATGAAATATCACAACATACCGGTAAATGGTTATGCAATGCTGCAGAAGCAGAATTACGATTTTGCCGTTCATTCAATGACTGAGAGTGTCAGCGGAGAGCTCTTAGCCTATGCATGAGTTTCGGAGCACAGATATATGTACATAATTGACATTAACCAGCTCAGAACTCTTATTCTCTTATTCTGGGCTGGCTTAGGACGCTGCTGGAGCTACATCTCCGGTAGGAAAGCGGTTAAACTCTGTGCAGCGTTACCATCTTACGGGGAGGGTGAGGGGGGGAGAGAGTTAACTTAGTTCTAGATCATTTTCAATGTTTTATTTAACGGTTTAATTTCCACAGATTTAAAAGGTTAATTTTGCTATAGATAACAGGGTTCCCTTGAACTGTTAAACTAGAATTAAATAGAGTAAATAAATAAATACACCAAAAACAACCAAGCGCTAGCTGCCTATGTACCTTGAATAAATGGATAGACACTGTAATGACCATTAGTCTGTGCTTTATTAATCTGTTTCTCTTCCACAGTATTGGCACAAAGGCCAATGTCTCCCAGCAGCACTAACTATTTTTCAATATTGGATCTGAAGCACTTGGCTTAATAACTCTTCCACTCTTTTCTTGCTCAAGATTTCCATTAGCTTCTCTATCAATTGATGCTTAGAGAAAAGTCAGCTCAGCACCTTTCCCCCCCAAGATCAATATGCTCTTTATTGTGACACCTACAATAGCAGTAGAGTGGTTATTATTTTCAGATATTTCTGCGGATATGCAGTGTGATCAAACCACAACTTCTAATCTGATACCAAGACGCTAGTAGTAAGACTAAGCAGTATTAAACATTGGGATTTGACAGAGCATTTCATTTGAACCTCGGTACATCTTTACATGAGTGTTGTGTAAAAATGGACAGATATGAACCCTGATCCCTATTTCACAACAAAAACATTAAATTAATATTTCAAGCACCACAAACACTACACCTCACTGTAGTAGTCAAACCTTTTAGACCTTGGGACTGTCGGGCGCTGCTCTCTGCCTTCACTACGGATGATGGAGAGCCAGAAGTGGAGACGGGAAGCAGAGCTTAATGGACCACAGGTTAGAAGCCAGACAGTTCTAAAACAGTTTGACTACTTACAACAGGGGGTGCCAGGGCACCCCAAGCGCCATAATCATTACAGCTATCTGTAGTAGTTATGGTAATTGGAGTGATCCTTTAATCAAACAGGAATATTTTTTATTCACCTCAATTCTTAGTATTACTTTGTATTTATATAGTGCCAACATTATGCACAGTCCTGTACAAGAAATGGAATACAGACAAATAATGAACAAGTACTTATACAAAATGAACAGAGGAGCCTTCCCATGAATCAATTGGAGTATTTATTAGAGACCGTAACTTTCTCACCCATTCAGGTAAAATTAAAGTGACCACAAGGTTCCAGTTTACAAGACCTACTTACTAGTACTTGTGTACACTCTTATAGCGAGAAGAGTAAAAAAAACGATAAATACCATACAGGTAGGGTTACCAGATCTACCATGTTTACAAGAAGACATATAAGTGTGTCCTGTTTATGAAAACGCATGAAAATGGTTGCCCTGTAGTATGTATAATGCATATTCTGCAGAATTCTTCATTGCCTAATTACTTAATGTTATACACTTTCTTATGAATCACTACATACTACAGGGCAACCCTTTTCACGTGCTTCCCATCAATATGTATACATGATATGTGTCTGAGGAACATGGTGGATTTGGTAACCCCAGGTATAACAAATGAGGTATGTAAAAATAACTTGCATACATTTATAATTTTAAAACTTTTAAAGGCAAGAAATGTTAAAGGACCTCTATAGGCACCCAGACCACTTCAGCTTAATGAAGTGGTCTGGGTGCCAGGTCCAGCTAGGTTTAACCCTTTTTGCTGTAAACATAGCAGTTTCACAGAAACTGCTATGTTTACAAATGGGTTAATCCAGCCTCTAGTGGCTGTCTCGTTGACAGCCGCTAGAGGCGCTTCCGCGCTTCTCACTGTGATTTTCACAGTGAGAAGACGCCAGCGTCCATAGGAAAGCATTGAGAATGCTTTCCTTTGAGACTGGCTGAATGCACGCGCGGCTCTTGCTGCGCATACGCATTCATCCAGGGACGTCAGAAGAGGGAGGAGAGTCCCAGCGCTGAGGGAGCCCGTCGCTGGAAAAAAAGGTAAGGGATTAACCCCTTCCTCACCCTTCAGTGCCACGGGAGTGGGATCCTGAGGGTGGGGGCACCCTCAGGGCACTATAGTGCTAGGAAAACAGGTATGTTTTCCTGGCACTATAGTGGTCCTTTAAGTATGGAAATTAATGAAGAAATATTTATGATTGGAAGGCTTAGGTAATGTCGCTATAGAATCCAGAACCCAATTTAAAATTACAGCAACCTAAATGAACATTAGAGCTTACCAGATGGAGACATATATTCAGCATTTGCCCTGCAAACCACCTGGACTGGCAGATTGCACATTCGCAAAAAGGCCTACAAGACATTGAAAACAGAATAAAGCATTTGTTAGCTGATGGCAAAAACAGACACCAAAAGACAATATGCAGCGGCTCATTAAACATGTTTACTAAGATTCTGCGGTCTTTGTAAATTCGTACCATAAGCACAATATAAAAGCATCACATTGCGTGGAGAGACATACAGATTTCTACTCCTGTATGCATGATAAATATGAAGTCAATAATACGCAGTTGAGTTAATACAAGAGATCAGTTTGTATAGTGGCTTTAAAACACGGATGGGATTAAGCAACACGTTCTGGTATATTATTTTGGGGAAGAAAAAGAGTAAAGTGGGAACTTTACAAAGCTGTGTTTATCATGCAAGTAAGTCACAAGCAATCACAAATGGCAGCCAACTGCTTCTATATACATCACAGCTATGTAAGCTAAGCTCGTTCCAGAATCAATAATTAGCTGCCTCTCGCTTATTAGTTGGTCCTCCTTTACGTGCTCAATGAGGAACCACTTGAAATATTGATAATTAGGTACAAGCATTAAAACCCTTAGGACTTACACACTGCAACTGCTCTTTAGACCCTCCTGTGGTCAAAGGGACACACCCTCTGTTATATAGCATAACTGGGACAGAACATCCCACTGACATACTTTGTTCTAATAAATAAAAAAAGAAAAAAAAAAGAAACCCAAACATTATCACCAGAACTTTAAAAAGCTTGATGATAAGATTTGTGGTTACAGAATAACACAATGAAACAACACAGAACTTATAGAAGCGTAACTCTATGCATTGGAAAGATTACACAAAGTACTGCAACAAAGCTTGCTGTAGTGGTTATGGTGCTAGGATGAGTTGTGTGAAGTGTCTCTGTATTTTGTCCAGTGGTTTAAGAAAATCAAAGGGGAATTTTGCACCACCGTAAGCACACCACCTCTTCTGGAGAATAATGAGAAAGATCACTTCTTAGTGAATAAGGAATTGGCTGTATTGAATCACTCAATTTGTGACGAACTGCACCCACTACCGTCTAACACCATAATCACTACAATAAGTTGTAGTGGTTATGGTGCTTGGAGTGTCCTTTTCTTTTTGTCTGTGTAACATTATCAAAAAAGTTGTAAAAAGAATAGCTACAGCTCTAACTATACAGCAAACACTGGTGGTTGGGGTACCCTAAAAAAAAAAAACAACAAAAGAAATAGCAAACTCAGGAGACAAGAAACAGGTTGCACCTAGTGGTAATTAAAAAGTATACAAGTTAACAGGCAAAATTCCACCTATAAATTCCACCCTCGAGCACCACTGACGGCCCTACGAGCAATCTCACCATGGCTCTCCCTGCAATCCTGGGTTAAGTTAGGTATTAAACACCTAGATCAAGTCATGCAACATAACCTCATCAAACCTTTCCCAGACCTACAACATGAATTTAAACTAACCAACTCATCAATATTCCCATACATGCAGCTCAAGAGTGTCATACCCACTCATGTGGCACAAATCGCTACGAGTGCTAGCCGAGACACCAAAGTAGTAGATACACTATATGACAGATGCTGGCAAACTCCAACCAAACCAAAAACCCTTGCTCTATGCTACCAAGTAATCCTAAAAACAGCACCACACTACGTCCCACCCTTCGCGAACCAATGGCTCACTGAATGTGATGAGCTAATAACGGAGGCAGAAGTGCTAGCGTCTCCCAACGCCCTCAAGGGCCTTACACAAAGCTACTCACACATAGAGGCCCACAGGAAATTGGTATACAGGTGGTACTTAACACCACACAGGCTCCATACCATGTACAACTCTGTATCCCCGCTTTGCTGGAGATGTGGGGAAAAACAGGGCACAATGTTCCACATCTGGTGGGCGTGCCAACGCATACGCCCCCTATGGGAGGACGCACAGTCCACCTTACGGAACATGGGCATCACAGCACCACCAATGGATGTACATACAGGGTTATTTCTTTCCTATCCGCACTCGACCCCAAAATCGGTAAAATGCATATTGGCAATCACTGCATTAGCAGTACGAAACCTCATAGCAACACACTGGAAAAAGCGGGAATGCCCTTCCAAAACCCAATTGTTGACTACGCTCCACCGCTACCACATGTATGAAGGCTTGACAGCCAAAACGGCCCCACAAAAAAAGTCCTTCCAGATGTCCTGGGCACCATGGGCTGATTTTTGGGAAAGGGTGAATGCAACTAACGTGACATAGCACCAAGCGTGACTAAACCAAAAGACTGCCAAAAGCACTGATATGGTACATACCATCAATGCCACACATACAAAGTCCCACACCCGGTATGAACACAACCCCCCTCAAAGGTACTTGAGGTTTCCACGCATAGAATGATACACCCACCTAGGGGTCAGCCCTACCGAGGTGTATATCCCGCCTCCATACCACACTTGAGCATGGATACTTACTCTGACCTAAGACCACACTGAAGTAACTATCACCTCCCCAACACCCCATCCCACTCCCCCCCCCTTTCCCCCCCTTTTTTTCTTTTCTTTCTTAATTTCCCCCCCCCACTGTTCATCCCCAGTTGAAAAGCCCAAACCCAAGCTGTAATGTCCTCTGCCAGGAATGAGAAGTTCAGCATAGGCCTGCCTGCGTCTAGCAAAGCTCAGCACACTCGGAACACAAAATGTTAGATATGGGGAAAGTGTCAATGAGGCCTTAATGCAATACTGATGTTCAGCTGGGACTTAATGCAATTGTTCTTCTTCTTCCTCCTAGAGGCATGATATAATTGGTGAAAATTGTTGTATAACCTAACACCCTCCCTTTCTTCTTTCTGTACCCCATTGACCTTATGAAAATAAAAAATTACCAATTAAAAAAAAAAAAAACAAGCCAGAAAAAAACAACAAATTAAAGAAAGAAAAAAGGGGGTGCACTGAAATTAAATGAAAATATCATATACTTATCTGAGAAGATATGGGCTTCACTAGAGCTTCAATATAGCTCAAAAGTATAAAAGAATAACAAACCCATAATGTGCATAATCTAAACATTTATCTGAAAATTCTACACTTTTATAGCTTTAAAAAGTTGTCCTATCTCTTTAGTTTTATAAAATTAACTGAATGTCAAAAAGTGCATTAATAAGTGTATTCCTTTTGGATACAAATCAGTTAAAGTGCAGATATTTTCATAAGGTTAAATTTACTAAACCAAAATATATAAAAATCTAATAAAGAAATATTAGAGAATGCCATATAAAAAAAAAAAAAAAAAGTATACAAGTTAGACAATATGTAACTATACAAATGGACACGTCCAGAAATAGGATTATTTTTGCCTTGTTATAATAGTCCGGAGTAGGTCCTTATACGGAGGGAATTCTTATGGGATGGTCAATTTCCGTGACACTCAGTTATCCTCAATAGGTCCGCAAATAAAGAGCTACATCATGTAGCGCTATATTCCTCACTTAGGAATTGGCAGATGTATATACAGGCAGAGCAAGCAACGTGGGTAGGCGTGACCTCGACCACAGACTAATACAATTGTCTTGTAAGTGATATGAGGACATAAACACATAATGGAGAGGTATTTTAGTATCAGGTTGACTATGCGATAAAAGTCAGACACCCTTAAAAACATGGAGCCTCACAAGCAAGCACTATATGTTTTATCTTTTGTGCTTCTATCCAATGATCTTATGACTGTTTCAGAAGGAGACTTCATACTTAAATCCCAGAGCAGGGACTGAACAACTCAATGCTGGTTTCTTAGAGGGGACTGTGAGGCTCCATGGTTGTAAGGATGTCTTTGACTTTTAGGAAGTAGATCACCCGATACGAAAATATTACAGTATTGGCATCTCCTCCGTGTGGTTTTTAACCAAATATAATTTACAAGAGACATTCAATCAGTCTATAGTCGAGATCATGCCTTTCCCACATTGCCTGCTCTCCATGTATATAAATTTGCCAGTTCTTAAGCGAGGAATATATCGCTACATGCTGTTGGTCTTGAGCTAGTTGGTAGCTCTTTATTTGTAGACCTACTGAGGATAACGAACGGTCAGGGAAAATTGTCCATCCCATAAGAAGTCCCTCCGTATAAGGACCTACTCTGGACTATTACAGCAAGGCAAAATGTATCATATTTCAGTACTTTTCAATTTTGTATAGTTACATGTTGTCCAACTTGTATACCTTTAATTACCATTAGGCGTAAACGGTTTCTTGTGTCTGCTATGACAACTAAAATTACCTATAAACCATGGGCTTGACAAAGGATTGTCTTGTATTGGTCTTCTCTTCTTATTTGGTTCTGAATGTATAGGGCTGGACTTTGCTCTTTAAAGCCAACTGCCAATTTCCTAAGAAGCTTCTATCTTTACTCTACCATAACCAATAGTTATGGCTAGCACCTAATTTTTGGACTATTACAAAGAGAGCTATGGATTCCCTTTTTCCCGAATTGCAAAATCATCGTATCAGTTCTAAAATTGCAATTGCGTCATAAAGTGTACAATTTGACAAACCATGCTTTTACACAAAAAATGTTGAATCTAAATATAATGAGAATTTTTTTTTTAAGTAGTTCAAATAATACAGTTTTCTTTATATGTAAAATACATACTTCCAAATTAAAACTTTCTAGGTCTCCAACTTCATTAGTATGATTAATGTAAAATTAATAAATGGCCAATAAATTAAACTGATTTCAAGTCTAGTCACTGTCTGCATTATTTTATATGTATGTTCTATTGCATTGACGGTTCAGGAGACACTGTGTCTGCATTACAGTGGGGTTTGTAGAGGATGATCTAAAGGCTTTCAGTTATGTAGTACTCAAACAATGGATAATAGACTGAGACAGCTCAGAAATGACAAAACAGCGGTTGTGCAGCCAAAAGGAAGTAGTGCAAAATAACTTTGAAAACAGATTTAACGCCAACACTCAACAGCCATTAGTCATCTAACACTTCCTCTACAGTTCTAGTGTTTTGGATAATTATTATTTTTTGTTGTTTTTATTGCATAATCAATACATTTCACTATTGGTTTTCATTACACATTAATAATTCTCATAAGTACATAAGAACAGGGTTTATTGACAATTAAGATGCTCAAGGATAAATTGTGAAACGATCATGTGAATATGATCAAAAAGGTATAACTGGTGCCATTCTCTACAAATATGTAAATTGACAATTATACATTCTGCTAGAGAAAACAAGCAGCTTTCATCGATTTAATGCCATATATAACTGATATTTTGATTAAGTATTACTATTCTATTGTACCAGATCTTCCAAGAGAATCCTAATTTGGATACGTTTCAATTGTTCTAGATCCCCCCCAAATCCATTGGAAAGTCCACAAAAAAACTCACATACGATAAGTGAAACCAATGTCAGCCATTTCTGCTAATGTGACAGATCTTCCACATCTCTCTGTGCACATGTAGGTATGGTCGATTAGCTTGCCTAAATCACAACCTTAAGAATTAGAGGAAAGGGTACATTTTTCATGGTCAGGTTTCTGGTAGTTAGTCCTAATGGCAAGTAGTTGAATGATAAGATTTCTTTGTTTCCTATAAATGTAGCTCCATCAGCTAAACTGTATTGGATTCTTGAGAGTGTAATTGTTCATGAATGTTGTAAGGAATGCCGCTGTGATACAAGATCCTATTTACTCACAACACCATCTCTCTTCAACATACTAATTTACGTTATGAAAAGACCCATCTACCCAACTTGGAAAGCAGGTCTTCACAACAGTCTGTAAGTAATCTGACATTGGCAGTCAGCAGTGTTCAAATGTTCATTAAATAAAGGACATATTTCTTTGGATTCTTAAACAATTATCTTAACATAGCAAATCGTCAATTACACACTTTCACAGATTGAATTATTTTATTATTTTACCACCACTGCATGAACCATGATTTGCTGCAACTCATGCTCCCCAAACATGATCAGGCAATTATCGATTACCTACTGAATTGCACCAGTTTGCTTATATTACTCCATAAACAAATAGCATACTTTTTTCATATATATACACATTGTATTAGAAGGCTCATTTTCTACTAACCAAGTTTAAAAGTTCCTAGCTACCACACATACACAGATCGTTCTATGGAAGGTCCGTGCGATGATGTTGTGCAAATGCAGGAGTGTACTTTGTGAAAAGCCAATATGTGCACAAGCAGAGGTGAATGAGTGTCATTTACTGCATGTATTCAATAATATTTCACAAACACGCCCAGTCTGCAACTACCAACAAGCCATCTTATCGCATTAACCCTCCACCTATCATCCCTAATTAATTTGCACAATTTCTATAAAGAACAAAGATGGAGCCAATTATAACTTTAGCACAAAGGGAGCCATATTTTCCCATAATACCATCAGCCAAGCTATACAGAAGCCAGGCTGCTGGGAAGGGGAATAATTAACAAATGTTTGCAAAGTCCATGAAACAATTAGAAAACCCTTTATTTCCATAGAAGCTAATCGGAATTATAGGTAGTCCGGGGGATTACATACTGATCACTTGAGTGACAGTGTTAAAACTCTGCCCCCACTTTATCTAGCAGCGCACATTGGAGAGCTGTGAGTGTAGCAGGGAAATACACACACATTCTGCTCCCGATCTGAAATGCATAACATCCAGGCCTGATGTTTTTGGATGAGATAGCAGTCAAATATATTCTATTTTAAAGAAACGGCTCAAATTTATTTGCCAGTGTTGAATTTTCACTCACTAATGGTGAGATGACAGGTAGAACGTTTGAGGCCTGGTTTTAGTCTCATCAGAGTCTTAGGTCATTTTTTGTAGTTTTCATATTAGAACAGTTGTGTTACAATACATTTCTACAAAATTAAATATGGACATTAAGAAATATGACAATAAAAATACTCAACTCCTGGCTCGGTTTCGGAAGCCTAATGGTGATTGCGGTAATTAAAGTGGCAAGGTTAATTCTGAGGTTTTGAATTTTTTAAACAATATAAGGAGAAACTCATAGATTGCATTGGAATACTAGGCAAGCAAAAAAATAATATAAGATAAAGAAGAGATTATTCTCTCTTATATTTGCAAAAAATTATAGCAAAATACAACAAAGGCAAAGATTTAGTCCCCTCAGCCATCACTTGTACACACAACTGGTGAGAATGGTTATCCTATTTAACAAGAGTGAGAAGATCCTGTGTAGACCCTCATTTTGTACTCTCTATATAAAGATAATGCAGCCCCTGGTGGCTTCATCTGCCAGTTGCTAAAGAATAGATGAGGAGAGGACAAAGAGGGAAGTCTTAATGTAAGCATATATTCACACCTCTCTCTCCTGAGGTCCCACAATGGAAGCAGATTTGCCACCTGGGGGGTTTGTTGCAAAAAACAAAAAGATCTCACAAAGTGACAGTACCACTTTAAAAGGTATACTTAATACAGGAGGTATGTTTCCTATGTAACATTTCTACTTATACCGTACAGCACGAGGACTGGGACAGCAATGTGATCGCATTGCAGCAATCGCATGATAACCACGCTGCTTCCAAAGAGACAAGCACAGACAACAGACAAGAACGCAAGCCATATGGCACAGTCAAAATTAGCAAGCACAGGATGAATCTCTTACTGTTTCAATGCAAAGTGAATACATATTTTGATACACAATATGAAATGAGTGCCATTCTTTAATAAAACATCACAACAATAAATGAATAGAACAGAAATAAGTAACCACACACAAAAAGAGGTTTAGACTCATTTTAACACTACATTATACAAACCACAAAATGTACTTTTAGCATTCAGAATTAAACAAGGTTATTGTTCACAGTAGGATCACAGGGATTTTCTTATTTGTGCCGTCTGTGTGTTTAACTGTAACTGCTGTTTCTCATTAAATGCACCCACACATCATACACGTACGGTAATTATAAAATGCATAAAATATGTGGCTTGCACACTCTGTAGTATAATATATTTGCAACTATTTAAAAATATATATAACATTTCTCATTGTAATTTCTCATTGTATAAATATAACAATCAAGGGTTAAATTTTTTTTAAAGTGTGCAGTATGTTAGAAATTCTCCCAAGCCTCTCTCTAGCTGATGCTCACTAAATGAGTCAGACTATGCAAACTCACTGATCATTATATAAAATAGTGATCAATGGTTATTATTTTTTACTGTATTTCTTTCTTTTTTTTTTTTTTTTAAGGGTAATTGAGGGAATCAGAGACATAGAGGTGTGGTTTTTATACGTAACCCAAACCTCTATCACATGGAGGACCATTGGAGTGCTTGTGAATCACAGAATAATGCAGGGGGGACTTCTCAGATATACAATGCACTTACACTTAAAAAATGGGAGGTTCAGAACTCGCTGAGAAATTTCAGCAAATTCCTGGTTCTTGAATAAGCTGCAGATTTTGCAGCAAACAAGGGCTAAGTGTCTTTTTTTTTTTACTTTAATTCATTTTAAAAATGTTGTATTTTCATGCATGTATCCCCCTTGTATATAAAATGGGTAATACATCATTCCAGTATGAACTACTCCTGTAACTATCTTGTCCATGGATATATTAGCACGATTTATGATATACTCCAGTTATTTTTTTGTTATTCTGGGGAGAGTGGGAAGGGGGTTTAAGGATCAAAATTCAGTTTGAGCTTTCATCTTTATTTTCTTAAATTTTACAAAGGTGCCAACATGCAAAAGCTTTTTTTTTTCCTGACAGTAGGAATCACGTTTTTCATTGGTCTGATTTGGAAATCATTGTATTCTAGCCCAAACAACCTATGTAAACCTCGATCAATATTTACTTTGCGGTACAGAAAACTATATTGTCAACATATCCCCTTGCTTCAAGAGAATGGACTGAAGAAAGTAATGTTTCACCTTTACCATGGAGATGCAACTGATATGTTAAGAGACGAGCGTGCTCATGGGAATATAACACATTGCTGAGTTCAGATCTCAGATTATCGACAATACCAACTTGCCAACTTCCTACAAATCTGTTTTGCTTCTATTAACTTGATCCAAGTCTTATGAATCATGTGTCTTATTTGACACGGTGGAGGTTATTTTTCATCACACTATCCAAAAAACAAAACTTCCCCTTGCTTCCATACCAGGCAGATAAGGTTTGTTGACATAGTTAGATTTAACTCAGATAGTTACTTAAAACTAGAATTGATCATGTGCTTAAACTAACAAACCTTTAGAAAAATAAGGAAGCAATAGCTTCTACAACGTCTTCACTACAAACACGACACACTTAGAACCGTATATACTCGTGCATAAGTTGAGATATTTGTCCTAAACTTCATTTTAAAAACGCAGAGTTGACTTATCCACGGGTCAGTGCTAGTTTCGATAGAATTATGTATGGCGTTAGGGAGTCGAATGCAGGGCAATGTCGACTCCCGAACGCCGTTCTCTTAGCTTTTCGGGAAGTCGAACGGGCAGGGGTACAAATTTCAGCGGGGTTCGCAGGCTTGGGCAGCTGATTCAGAGATCCATGCTGTCGACGACCATGTACCGCTGCCTGGGTTTGGGAAACAACACATGCATTCGTATATACAAATGGTGGCCACCCAGGGAATGCCGGTTTGTGGTTAAGAACCAGAGGTGGTCGGTGATTACGAGATGTTAACAAGGGGGACCACACAGAGTTTGTCTGTTAACCATACAGAAGCGAACAATTCCATTTGAATAATGTACCCTCGACTTATAGCATATTTCACAATTGTTGGTCAAAAAAGTGCACTCGACTTATACACAAGATCGACTTATAGAGGAGTATATACGGTAGTTCATGTAACTATAGAAGAATGTCTGTTCTAAAATCAGAACAAAGTGCCCATTTCAGAAAGGAGGGTTTCTCCAACTCTTTTCATTTATGACAGAATAATGCCCTATTGGCAATACTCTATCAGCCCCCAGAGAAAAACACTGAAATGGTGTTTTAAAATAACGTTAACTTACTCTAATCCAGTGAGAGAAACCTTTGAGTGGACCATTTTACCAGCCCAGGGAGCATGTGCACACTCTGACCTGGCAAATGGAGGGGTGAAAGGGAGGGAGGGATTAAAAAAAAAATTGTTACCTTAAGTGTGGGAGGGAGAGGGAACAAGAGTTTCCTGCAAGGGAAAAGAAGTTATATCTATCGGCAACATGCAGTGTGCCCTTGAGAGAGACGTAAAATATGTACAGAACTGAAATTAGGCAGCCTGGAACAGAGTTCTGATCTGTCAATATCAAGTGTGTCAGGGGTGCAACTAGCCCTCGTCCTCACAAGTGCAAATAACTCTGGATGAGCAGTGTTTCAAACACTGGAAATCCAGATTCCTAAACTTAACTTTCCCCTAAATTTAATGGAACTACGACCGCTTCAAAAAGCAGATGTGGTCATGGTGGTTTAAAATCCAACCACTAAACCGTGAGAAAGGAAAATATAGCCAGCTCCAAAAACAATAGTGCAACATTGTACAGCTTTGCTTGATTATTTGAGGGGTAACTAATGCATGAATGCCACGATCCGTGTGAGGCATGGGCTAAAGCAAGCATTTCAAACTCAAAGTCTAGCATGGGCCACATAAACAAGGCTTAAGTTTATGTGGGCCACAAAAAACGCAAGTTTTCCTAGAAACGTAGGTTTATTTTGAAAACTACAGTAGGAAAAAAACCTCCAGCATCCCCCTCTACTAAACCACAGCACCCCCTCTTCTAAATAGCAGACCCCCCCCCAACTACTCCCCATATACGAAATCCCAGTCCTCCCCCTCTACTAAATCCCAGCATCCCCCCTCTAGCCAACAAGCAGACTCCACTCACATTGCTGCTGCCAGTATGCGACTCCGCCTCTGGTATACCCCAAATGGTGCCATCCGCACCCGGTGCCAAATATGATCCTCCAGCTACTTCTTGAAACCCTGTGAAGTTTGAGCATGTCGATGTCACGTTGGAATGTGACGTGGCGTTGTGTGCCTCTATGCACCTCCAGGTACTCCACTGTCCAGTCGCAGCCAATGCAACACTGACCAACACACACACACACTCACTGACAGACACACTCATTGAAAGACATACACTCACTGACACACACACAGACACACTGACAGATTAATATGCTTCCCCCTCCCCCAAATTAATATATCCCCCACTCTGATACACTGCCCCCACCTCCATCCACTCGAATACACTGCACCCTCCCCCAATCTAATACACTGCTCCTTAATCTAATACATTGCCCTCACTCCCACCACTAATTTAATACACCGCCTCCTCCCACATTTAATGCACTGCCCTCCCTCCCCAAAATTAATACACTGCACACTCCCTCCCCAATTTAACACACTACACAGGAAGGTCCCCCAAGCCCTACTTCCCCCCCTATAGACTGTAAGCTCGTTTGAGCAGGGTCCTCTTCAACCTATCTTTCCTGTAAGTTTTCTTGCAATTGTCCAATTTAGGGAAGGGGAGTGGCTGGCCTACTATGCAGACATACATGCTGTGCACTGTAATGCCGCAGAGCCGGCATGGCCTAATGCTTACCGGTCTTTCAGCCGTCAAAGCACGTGATTGGCAGTGGCAGGACACAGCCCAAAGTATCCCTAGGGCAGGTGTGTCGCAAATATATTCATTGTGGGCCGCAAGTTTGACATGCTTGGTGTAGAGGCATCACGAAGAACAGGCATCTTGAAATATATACATGTTGGGAACCAGCGTTTAAGCTGCCAATAGCATATCACTGGCAGTCTTACCATCTTCTTACTTGAGTTAAAATACTTTATTTCTATGGTAGTAAGTCAACAGTATTGATTTTGTGTTCAGTATAAATTTTGAGGTATGATTTACATTTCACTGAAACTTTAATTTTGAATGTAATTGGAAATAGCCTTTGCCAGGATTTGATCTTTGGGCATAAAGAGCACTCTACAGCCTGATACAAAATTCTATTTTGTCCTATCCTATATTCTTGCACCACTATCAACAGCACACAGTGGGTTAATGTTTAAACTGCTTATTTAATTTTCCTAAATACATCATAGATTCCAATTTATCTAGAAATGCACTGTGCTGCAATTAAATTCTTTAAAAAAAAAAAAAATCTTCAAAAGTGTCATCTGGATGTTGCACATTAAAGGAGATTCGGAATGTCAAATGATAAACAGAAATCCATGGAGTGAAAAGATGGAATGCTTTTCGAAGCAGTCACTGGAATTTGCTGTCTAATCTTGCAGATATTTTAAAAAACAAAATAAAAAATATGCATTTTTTTCCTCCCCCTCTATCATATAAAGCATGTCTAACTTAATTAAGGTAATTGCTACATTTACAGCTCACCACAAATAAGGGTTTTAATTATGTTTGTGTCGATCTCGACGAAAGGTAATTCTTGAATACCTGTGAATTAAATTTAGGGCAAAGTCACGTTAAGTTTAGAAAACAATTTATTTTGTGCCACTGCTGAACACTTCAGTAATGGGATAATGTAATCGCTGGTGAATTTAGAAAGCCTAAATTCACTTGTAGCACATGGGAGGTACTGAAGACAAATGAAGATTCTATTTATTTAGCCGTAATTTCATCGCAAGACTGCATGAAAGATGCAGGTAGTCAAGCTGCAACTGCACTAGGTGGGGGCATAAAAAAAGGATTTTATGATAATATAAACCTAGATCATGCCACATTTAATGATGATAATGATATGTACTGTGTTGTGTTTTGGGGGAGGGGGAGAGAATGGCTGTTTTCTTTAACAACAGTAGGAAAAGAGAGAGGGAAATAAAAAAGACAAAGCCCCTAAACAGCTGTAGTTTGGCAATCAGCCACTATTCTGAATTAAAACTCTTGTTTCACTCATATTAGTGACATTGCTCTTTGGACACAGAGCTAATTATACAGGGTGGTCTGAGAATAATGTGAACATCTCAGATATCGCTTAAAGTGAACCTGTCAATAAAGGCATTATATAATAAAGGGACACTATAATCACCAGAACCATTACAGCTTAATGCAGTGGTTCTGGCGTCGATAGCCTGTCTCTGTAGCCATAGAACTTGCGGAGACAAGGCAGTGATTACATTGCTGGCTAGTTACACCTATAGTGGCAGGCACTTAAACGGCCACCAGAGGTGCTTCCCGTGTCAGTGCTGCAATGTGCATCTCTATGGGGAACGTTCAGTGCATACATGCACAAGGAGATGCTGATAGGCTCAGAGTGGTGTTTTGCCGTGCATGCGTAATAGCGGCCCAATGCTTTCCTATGGGAATCATCAAAATTGATGATCCCGGCGGGGCCAATCAAAGTGAGGCTAGCACGGCGTGGAAGAAAAGGATAGCAAAAGCACCTTTAATCTCCAGAGATTGGAGGACCAGGACCTAATGCTGCATTCAAGCACTATAGTGTCAGGAATACACGTTTATATTCCTGACAGTATAGTGTTTCTTTAACAAAGCATAAGCAAATTAATCTATATATGGAGTTTTTATTTAACCAATCAATCAAATATCAAAGATATTTATAATAAACACCTGTATACCTTACATTATAGGTGTAAAAACACAGTTTAGGTACCCCACCCTATGAAAAAGGTATTTTACTTACCTTTCCCTACGCCATGCCAGTCTCGCCTAGGCTGGTCCCGCCCACGCTCCACTTTCTAGCCTGAGATCATCAATGTTGATGATCTCAGCCAATCCAATGCTTTCCCATATCTAAGCATTGGCAGGTAATAACGCAAAATGCCACCCTGCGCCAATCAGCATCTCCTCATAGAGATGCATTTAAACACTCAATATCTATGAGTGTTTTTTCAGATACAACCAAATATACGCTACAACAACATAGTTTGCAAGGTCTTATTTAACGCATTCAAATCATTTTACAATTATTTTTACATGTCATATTCCACACACATTTAACTGTCTTGTACTATATATAATTGCATGCCTTTAAATCTTTTACTCTTTCATTCCACAACAAAAAGTCATCCATATCATATTTGACTTTGCTGCTGTGAATACATTTATTCAGCTACATCTCTGATGATACATTATGTTCATGAGTCAGGCCCCACACCTCTAGAACCGTTAACATCTGTTTAAACTGGACCTGTCATGTCGGAGTTTTTCATAAAGATAAGAATCTCTATGAAAAAAAAAAACACCTAGATGTTAACAAGGAATTTTATTGAAATTCCAAAGTAAATCAAAGATATATATCAGAGACAGTGTCCAAAGAAGAGGTTGCAAGGCAAAATCTTACCTTTTCTCCGCTACTTCAGGAACAATCATTGACGGGAAATATATTATTCCATATAATGTACAACTGGTGTCTATTGCATCTGTAGATACGTAAGAATATCTTTGGAAGATTTGTAGAATTTGTTTTGGTACTATCACACAAGAATACAAGCGTTGGACGGTTTCTAACAACTTAATTTACGTTACAATTTTTTTCAAACCCAATTGCTGCTTTCCTCCAAAAATGTCACAGGTCATGATTAAAGCAGATCTGTCACTTTTCACCATTCCATAAAGATTCCTTATGAAATACTGATTAAGACTGCATTGGTATTTCATTGAAGTTCCAGCACAATCCAAAGATACCATAAGACAAAATTAGGGACTACTTTCTCTAATGGTGAAGCCTGAGGTTGAGAAAAGTCGACGAAAGGCAGAGCTCCACTGCCCCAATGGGATTCAGGCTCAAATTTATGGAGGATCCCACTGTTTAGTGGGTTCCTCCATAGACCTCAATGTTGTACTCTCGTGCATGCATGAAAATACAACACTGGCATGGCTCCAGGCACCTAAAGTGCCAGATCGAACAGGGCAGCAGCAATGGGCAGCAGCAATGGACAGCCTGTAAAACTCGCCTCTCTTGCATACCACAGCCTTCGGAACCACATCAGATCTGTCAGCTTTGGGGTTTAAAATATAGAAAATAATCATAAACAATAATGGTAATGTACCTTTTAGTTAGTTAAAGGAATACATCAAACACCACAACCACTACAGCCACTCCAGTAATCACACCATTTTAGAGCGGTTTGACTTTTTACTTGCGGTATTGAGCACTGTTCCCTGCCTCCACTGCAGCCAGAAGCTCTGATTGGCTAAGAGTGATCAGCTGACGTACTGCAAGGCTTAGCTGAGGAGTGCCAACATAAGCTCCCAGCTCAGTTTAGTGGTTATAGTGCTTGGTATATTCCTAGTTTAATTGATACAGGTCATTTTATTTTGCATAGATATTAAATTGATAGTTCACATGCCATATGTACTCAGAATTTTTACTGGGAAGAATATATATATTATATACATACACACACACACACAGTGGGACCTCAGTTTACGAATTTAATGCGTTCTCCAGGACGTTTCTTATTGCAACATATTTGTAAACCGAAACACGGTGATGCATAGGAATGCATTGAAAATCAATGAATCTGTTTGGGAAGTAAAAAAAAAGCCAAAATGAGCTGGCATGGAAACCAACCCACAATGTAGAACACACCGTAAACGGCATGCAAACGGCGAAGCGAAGCTCCCTACTTTTCCACAGCTTGAGAAATGCACAAAAAAATCCCTAAACAACTGCAAACAATTTCCAGAATGGCTCCAAAACCTCCACACTCAACGCCATGTGCTACCCACAGGCTCCAGGATGCAGGGGGCGGTGCTATAAACCTCCCAGGTGCAATGCATCCTGGGGAAACTTGCTTTGTATTGCGAAAATAATTTGTAAACTGAGACATTATTTTCAATGGATTTTCATTTCTAAACCAAAAAATATGTTAACCTAGGTGTTTGTAAACCGAGGTCCCAATATATATATATATATATATATATATATATATATATATAGTTTATAACCGTTTCTGACTCATAAAGACCAACTTAAAAAACATATTCTGTAGTTATTTTATATGCCCACAATATTTAAATGAAACTGCAGACGCTTGTTAAAAGAGCATCCGCTTGGGGGCGGGGCCTGACCGCCGAGCTGAGCTGCAATTCTGGACACTGCCTGGATCTGAGTGGCCTACCCGCAACCCCAGCGGTTCTGCAGATCAGGCGTCAGCTGACTTCGGCTACACAGAGGACTATAGCCAAGATACTTTGCCCGAGTACTGGGGAAGGCTCTGGCAATACAACATGAACACTCATTCTGTTTACTTTACTTTTCGTTGACCGGTTGTCTCCTTTTTATTTCCGTCTGTTTTCATAAATGCCTGTATCACACCCATGCTGCTTAAAATGTAAAACAAATCTCGGGTACAGACCCATTGGGGATTAACCCCATTACAACATACTTCACAGCAGCCTCACTTACCTGCACTTTCTCTTAGACCAAATCCTGATACTGCCACTGCTTAAAAGGTCAAGCACTGTGCCTTACTAATCCTCATAAACTATGCTGCTGTAAATTATAGTCTAACCCATTCTTAATATAAAAATGAGTGCAGTCACTGTGGTGAATTTTGTTGTCTATATTAAGCTTAACTGTTAACAAGCAATATTTACTAGGTCTGTTTTACTTCATTTGCATGTACCATTGCATCTCCATAACTAGGTGACTAGTTTGTCCTACAGGTCTAACTAACGCCCCTGGAACATATACCGCCTTACTGTTATGCATACCTAGATACCCATCCTTACAATGTGCAGTCTCATCAACATGCCGCTCAATGGTTGTTTTCCAATATACTATATATAATCTTGAACCCGCCTGTACTGTTAGGGCATTGTGGGACCTGCTAAGCTAAGCTTTTACCATGCACTACTTAAATTCCTATCTTTATGCTTAACCTTGATTAACATCTTCTTAACTATAAAATAGTGCACGTAGTCTCGAATACCTCATTGTTATAAGTGATGGTTGGGGTACCTCATGCGCGTTGTTATATTTCTATGCACAGCAAAAAAAATTAAAAAAGAGCATCCGCTTATTGAAAACAGACAATTAACCCATGCTCGAGCACCTATATCTTTAGGCCATACTCTTGTTCAGAATAAATAAGCAAAACAATGAAATATCAGCATTCTGTCTTCTTTCTATTTTCAATCCAACTTCGTGAATTACTTTGTTTCTGCATGCCGAAGAACACTTCTCTTTGAAAAAGATATATCTCTTTACGTCTGTCACTGTTTAGCTATCTTTATAGATCAAAAATATGCACAATCCATGGTTTGAATCTGTATTTAATGAACTTCATATACAAAGGAAAATCGTTGCTGGCTATTTGAATCTGATAGTCCTAAAAAAGTAACTGCAAATAACCATGGCTACTATCAGCTGTCAAAAAAAAAAGCTTATTAAAGTAAAGCATGCATTTTCAATGCACGATGTTCAATTTATCATAGCAGTGACAGATACGACAACAGCTCTGCAGTTAGGAAAAATAAAAATATGTCTTAAATTTTTTTTTTTTTTTTATTATATATCTATATATACACAAAAATGCATATATTTAGACACTAATATGTTAGACACACAAACTCACATCTTACATTAACCCTTGTAATACCATAACACTAGCCCTAGCCTAACTGCGGCCCTTACACACTAATCCTTGCCTAACAATATTATTTAGAATATAATATATTATAATGGTGAGGTGTGTATTGGAGGAGAAGAACACCAGTGTTGGGTTATGGATAAATTTATAACCCAACTCAACCTTTGGTCTTGTGGTTTATTATGTCTCCAGAACCCATCAATAGAATTATGGTCCCATAAAACATGGGTCATCAGTATACAAGTTATTATTATTATGCTAACTTTCACACGAAAAACAAGCAGCAAAGGACAGTTAAAGTTAAGATGCTTCTTATTCATCATCACACAATATAAAACTATAGCTAACTTTTCATGTATGTGCTCCTATATCAAAGAAAAAACGTTACATATAACTTGATACTATAATAGCTGTTTATATATATATATATATATATATATATATATATATATAATTAGGAGAGAGAGAAAAAAAGGAAACAAAGTTGATAGTAGGAAAGAGGGATAGGGAAGGAGTGGAGAAGTATGTGCCTCCAATAATTGCACAGCAGGAAGTAGGCCAACAATACCTTTGTCTCCTTCTACTGTTGCAGTAGACTAGAGTAGAAAAGTAAGGGGTTCGATACCAATGTTTAAAGAATTTCTAAGCCATTTCTTGGGCCTTTGCCGAAGGTAAGCATTTGTGTGCCAGCTTCATCATTTTATATCACTCAGTATCCAGGTCACAAGATGGCCTCCCACTTAGTAGTGAAAGGAGACAGAATAAAATATGTACTTGTAGCAGAGCTTCCTCTACCCCGGCTGGGTACCTTCGCCAAGGACAGCTTTCTTAGCTGGAACATGGGAAAACCTCAGCGCTTCTGCCCAAGTCGCCTTGGCTTGACTGGGTCCTCTTGGAGCCTCTCCGTCCTGGAACAGGATAGGGGACTAGCTCTATTCCCTCCCAGGGACTGGACATCACACAGTCCTGGGAGCTCTAGTCCTTACAAGGATTTTCCCTGCTGAATCCCCCACGAGCTGGAACAAGGTGCCAAGCAGTGATCATAGCCCTTCCCCTCCCAGTAACTAAACGACACATAGTTCTGGGAGTACAACTGGTTTAATGCATCCAAACACAGCCTTTTTATACACAGACCCCAACAGGGGGTCTCCATTGTCTTCACCACAAGCCCCTCCCAGGAATCTCTGGGTCTGGGAGATAACTGCGTTAAAGACCGGTAAGCTAATTATCTCCCAGGAAGAGAGGAAAACAAACATAAAAAACCCCAAAAACATAATAAAAACATAACATAGCCCCACAAATAAGACATCCCCAAATAGCCCTTATCTGAGCGCTTAAGTTCTCCAAATAGCGTTCAGATCCATGCAGTGTAGGGGAAACTGTTGACTGGCCGCACACGTGGTCCTATGCCCAAAATAGTTTCATGGCATTTGGTGCTTTTGCCGGTCAACTTTCGGGAGTTCCTGTGGCCGCAATACGGGGTGCTCCACTTGGCTCTTAGGTAGCGTTTGTTCCCCTTAGTCTCAGACACCTTCCCTCCAAAAAGTGCCCTCCTGGTGGATTTCAAAGTGGTTTAAAACCGCAAACCAAATTGTCTGGGAACCACACGGTCACCTCATGCCGAAAACAGTTCCATAACATTAGCAGCTAAGTCCCGCTGAGGTGAACGGGAACCCACGAAGTCCTCATGCCGAATTTAGTTCCATAGCGGTCGTGGCTAAGTACAGCTGGAACTGTTCGTGGGCTTGGTTCATGCGAACTGCCGCCAGAAAGCCAGTGTTTGGTTTCATTTGCATGAAGGGAAAGTGCCAAACCGGGGGCACCCATGGAAAGCTGTTAATGGCGGCTGGGCAGAGTAACTCCCAAACCTGGACCATAGTCGGTGGGCAGGAGTTCGGCTTCTACACTCCTCCAGGAATCCGTGGCAAACGTACGTGGGAAGGAGCGTTTGTCACGACAGAGTATTACTATTTTGAAGAGGAGAGAGATACCTTGGGGGAGATACCGGTCCCTCACAAACGTCAACTAATTCTGTCAAAGAAATCTGGTCATGGCAAATCTGACTCTGCTAGAACTAGCATTTAGGATCAGTGAGATTGTGGATCTCTGATTATCAGTTTAGCATTTTAAATCCAGTTTATAATAATCATCTTGCAATTGTTTATAGAAAACTTTAAAGGACCACTCCACACTGGTAAAGCACTTCAGTGGGGAGTATCCCATTTCTATGAGAAATCGAAACTTTTATAATAAATTAATGAAACACCACCCTAGTTGTCAATAAGACAGTCAAGGAGGTTTCTTCCTGCATCCATTAGTTCCCCGTAACTAAAGGAAGTGGCAAGCATGCACTACTTGAGCACACCTGCCTCCCCCCTGCATACTTCCTTCTCAGACCTCAGATCAGAATACTATTAAGTGCACACACACGGCATGTGCACACACGCACATGGCATGCGCACGCTAATTGACAAAGGGTGAGCTTCAGAGGTTTTTTTCATTGAAAAGCAATTTTTCTGACAAGCTATTCCCTACAAAGAGATTGTTGGTCTCTTCCGAAGAAAAAGGGAAGACTGGCAAAGATTGCAATTTACGGTTTTGTAAGCTCTTCTAAGATATACACCCTATGAAAACCATGCATAAAAAATGCGTGCATGTATTCATTGGCGGTATATATACACTAAATAGTGATTTCTGCTTTTTTGCCCATTTGGGTGGTGGAGTGTCCCTTTACACAAAGGTGCATCAATATATATAGTACCATCAACTGTTCCTATATAGATTTCATTGTTTGACCTTCAGCTTTGTTTTCCAAAGTTTGTAACATTAAATGGTTTCTTCCGGTGCTACTGTTCAAGCTGCAACCAATCCCTGCTAAGTAAGATGTGGCCTGAGCCCTTAGCTAACTCATGAATCACTAATAAACTGGCTATTGAGATAGAATATTCACTTACGTTTGCAAGGACCTTAGCACATATCCTGCTTTCCTGCTTTACTCTCCAACTATAGCCCGATTTTCATCTGAACTCTCAAACACATTGCACTAAGCTGCACAGTTACAGCATAATTACCCATTTATTTCTGGGCTTGAGATTGCTATCCATCTAAGCTGAATCCATATGTTTTCTGTCCTGCGAATGCAATACCTGTATAGACAATATTCCTAGTAATTCTCTGGTTTTCAGTTTTAGCTGAAATCACCATTACCTTGTGCAATATCTTAGATTTATTTGTATTACTTGGTATTCAGAATCTCAATGTGTTTGGCCGTTTCCAGACGCTAAAGCTGTACAGGGGAAGATTCCTCTAATAAATTTCATAGATTTAATATAAAATGAACTCTCCTTGAGGCAGAAGCAACAATGTATCTAAAATTAACAACCATGGCGGGAATACTATTCATGTTACTAGAGATATATTACCTGCTTTCTGCAAATTTTATTCTGACCTTTACAACCTGCCTGGTCACCCTCCAGAGTCAGGCTACTGCCTTCCATTAGGGCTTACTTAGATAAATGTCACCACTACCTTGTCCTACTCTGACACTAGGACCTTCGATACACCCATGCTCATGATGAATTTACCAAAGCAATCCATCTCATGCCGTCTGGGAAAGCCAATGGCCCCTATGTGTATATCTTGAGATACTATAAGATCTGTGCCCTTCTCCTTAGTAATATTTCTTTGGCCCCAATCAACTCACTTATGCAGTCATTCTCTCTACAGATTTTCATGTTGGAAGCATACGAGGTCTGTCCGGAAAGTATCCAGCCATGTAATATGAAAAATATAGAAATTTATTGAAGAAGATACACAAAACATTGTACATAGGACAATGATGCCTAAGTCCCCTTCAAGTAGGCACCTTGAAACCTCCCAGTTCTCCCAGTATCTCCTCCACTGTTGAAAACAGTATTTAAAATGCTTTGTGGTAATAGCCATCAGCTATTTACCAGAATGTCATTGACGGTCTCAAATATCTTCCCTTTCAAAGCTGATTTTTGATTTGGGAAAATCCAGAAGTCGCAGGACGCCAAATCTTTCAACAGATTCTCGACTATCTTTGAAGTGTTTGTGCCACCCATTTATTTGCGCTGCACTCGTTGTATCGTTTCTGAAAGCCTTTTGAAACATCCAAATAGTTTTTTCGCAGAGGAATGTTCAAGCTTAACACAAAATTTTATGCAGATTTGTTCACAACAGCCACACAGTATACAAGCTTACTTAACGTCATCTAGCACCTCCTCCCCCCCCAAACAAGTACAGTGAAGTTCACACATTCCAGTACACTTCCCTTGGTTGACAGGTTACATTGATGTTGCAAACCGTTCTCGTTATATTATCAATGACTGGACTTTTTCCAGAAATACTTTGCTTACCAATTATTCTGAAGCCTGACATGATCCCGAGCAGTGAAGTAGCTATAGTGAAGTAGCTAAAGGCCCATATTTCTCCTAAATATTGATCTCATATTGTTCAAGCTGGCTCCGTCCCACACTTAAACAACCTTAAAGTAATCAACCTGGCTCACTGAGTCAAAAAGCATTGCATCCATTCAATCTTTTTTTGGTGAATAAATCCTTGGCTCACGTATACTAAACAATAAACAATAGAGACTGTCATGCTAAATTCAGGGCAGGGCAAAATAAAAAGTAAATTATTTATCCACAAAGCACTTATTTTGGACTACATTTTACAAGTTTGTTATCAAATCACTGTAACGTCTTCAGGAGCTGAACAGAATGCTGTAGATCAAGGTGGTGGCACCTGCAAGGGATATGTTCAGGTAAATATAACTCAACATCACCTGATCCCCCCAGCCACTGGACATCTGGCAGAGCAGTCACAGTCGGAGGCCACATTAATAAACCAATCAGGATTGTCCTGCTGAATACAAGACAGTTATGTTGTTGGCTCCAGAGGTTTACATCTGTATTTCACATGCTATTTGGCTAGCGTAAACAAAATATAGATCACAAACATCTGCAGGTCTCAAGGTCACTAGTACAGGATCCTTCCAAAAGTGGAAGGTATGCTAATGTTGCTTCTTTCACATGGCTAAATATGCAGAGATTCAGTATGGAACTACTCGAAATGTCAAGACATATCTGGTAAGCATCTTCCATGGCATACAGATTTAGAGGATGAAAGTGAAGACAATGTTAGCATATCCATTATTAACCAACTCATCCTCTTAATTCAAATATTTTATATTCCAGAAACCTACACCACAGCCAGTGGCCCCATAAAATACTGAGATTTTATTAGACTGCCAGAGCTATCCTTGCAGAAAGCAGCGAAAAAGTAATTTGGGTGACATTTTGAACACATGTGAATAATTTACTGGAAAGGTTCTCTATATTAATTGGAAAAATGCAACTGGTCATTATTTCAGGGAAATGTTACAGCATTTGCTTTATGTTACACTGGGGCATTTAGACATCTGCGAAACAGACTGGGTGACACACAAAAAGAAAAATCCATGGTACCTAATACACAAGGTATTTTAAAGGGGCATTGTACATACGATAACCACTTGAGCTCATTGTACGAAAAATCTTAGGGTGCTCTACTGTTTTTCTTTTCAACCATTTGGTCAGTTTTTTTTTTTTTAAATAATGTGGCTTCTCTGTACACTGACTTACTATCAGATGATGAAGAAGTAAACTTTCATGTTATCAATCCAATCTTGCAATTATCGCCGGTAAGTGCTTACTCACTGTATGCTATTTCTTTCTAGCATTGCATGAATAATGAGGGAGTTAATTTCAGAATTAGCCAAGCCAAAGGAACAGGTCTGGGTCTTAGTGCCAGGAGAGCTAATTTTTTGGCCAGACCGCATTATAAGTATTACAAAACAAAAACAAGAGGATGGTACTCAAAACTTCTGGGCACCATAAAAACATCAATGCTCAATTTGCACTGCTGTGCTTTTACACAAGTGAAGAATTCATATTCACATTGTTGGCACCACTTACAACACTCATAAGTATGTGTACCCGTACCTCACTCACAGTGTATGAAGAGTCCCACATACAAAGTACAGTAAAAGTTTACTATTAATGCATATTTCCACTCCGTTATGTTATTATTTATAAAGCCCCAACAAATTCCGCAGCGTTATACAATGTTTCAGGGCTGACGTCACAAAGAGCTATTTGGTAAATAGAAAAATTACATGTTTGCGATGAACAAAGCAAAAAAAAAAAAAACACACACAAAGTCAATGTTTCATTCAGGGCTCTATGCAGAAAACAGATAGATGTGTAGTTGTGAGCTATCTATAGGCAGAGGATGTAGGAAAGGGTTATAAAATAAAATGCAATTTTAAGAATAACTATTGTTTGTTAAACAGTACATAAGTGGTATTTGTTCCAATGAATTTCTGATCCGGAACCAATAATATGTAGAGGTACATTATTACTATGAAGCTAAGGGAGGTGTCCATTGTAAATTTTTGTAATCTTTTGTAGTAGATAAAGCTCATATCCAGCCATTAACAACTACAGGATTTGCAGCCACAACTAGGGTCAAAATCTAAGAAATCTAAATAGCCTCACACTCCATACAAGCATCTAGTCAGTTGCTCTACCATGAGATGTTCCTTCCTTGTCCTATAAAAGCAGACGTGTACCCATGCACTGGACATTGATTAATATTGTGAATTATCATGTCTTAGAAGAAAATAAATGAAAATATGTTTGACAATACATCTTTGGTGCTAGCCTTAAAAATAGACTTCGTATGGATTTTGTCCCGTGCATGTCTCAGCTAAAAGAAGGCTTCAGGTTGAAATGAACTCAGACTAAGCTAAATAAGGTAAGGAGCATTGGGGAATAAAAGGCTAATGGGTCTCCCACGAGTCTTTCACGACTGAAGACCATTAGGCCTAAAAGTTGACTGATGGAATAAAAACTTGATAAAGAGACCACAGACAGCTCATTTTATAAAAACGATCTCAACAAGAATAGCAAGTAATATAGACAAGTAGAGCCATTATGTGTTTTCATTTAAATAGTTAGAGATAGCTAGACACAGAACATGGTTAAATGTTCAGATATTAAAAATGTATGCTTTTTATAAAGAGAGATACAATAAATAAACAATGCTGCAAAATCTATCTTTAGAATTAATGTATGGTTAAGGATCTTGATACGGTCAATACAGTCAGATCTACAGAGCAGCTCCATCTGGGCTAATAACCAAGCCACAACAATTGCAAAAAAATAGCACTACAGCTGTATGTAGACTTGGTTTCCCAAAGTTGAACCAAATGTTCAGATAGCTCAGCATCACAGGAATTATACTATATTTTGGAGTTCCATAGATGAGTTATGAATGGCTTTGGAAATATTTTGAAGAAGGACGCAGGTCTCTGTGCTGGGCAATGTCTAAGCGGAGGAAAAGTGAAGAAAAAATGTTGGTTGGCGTTTTGAAGAGTGATTTTGGAGAGTGCTCAGCACTTACAAAACAGGCAACTGTAGGTCATAGCTAAACATTTTTAACAAGGTGGAACTTTAATTTAAAGAATAAATCATTACCTGAACAGCAAGACAAGATGCATTGTCAGACAGCAAAACTTGTTCACCTGAGGAGAAAAATATAAAAATCTGAATGTCTGTCCATCAAAAGGAACTTTGTTCTTTGTTGTATGAACACAGTATTATTATCATCATTTATTTAGTGCCATCATTTTCTGCAGTGCTTAAAGCGGTTTTGTCACACACCCCGTTTATGAAATGTTTATTGTCTTTTGGAATTTCACTGAAATTCTAACGCAGTCAAAATATATATTAAAACAACATAGGGACTCCTTTGTCTTATGTATATTCCTTACGCTTGACAAAAGACAGAGCTACCGCTATAACATTTTGTAATTCACCCACAGGGGAAAGGGCATTTTCTATGGAGGATACCGCATTCTCACTGGATCCTCCACAGACCTAGTGTTGTACTCTCACTGGTACAACAGTGAGGACCGACCGGATGAGGATAGAGGCAGCTGCTAACAGGTCCAGGTATGTAATCAGCTTACAATATTGGCTTTTTGGGAGATTTCCCACAATATTTCACTCACAGGGCTCTACAAAGTATGTGTCTCATTCTCAAAGGGAGGACATCTAGATATGAAAGCCAAAAGATATCAGGATTCTTACATTTTGGTAAAAGACCCTGCATCAAATGTGACTTAGCAGACATAAGGGAAGATTATACAAAATCTTAAAGGAACACTATAGTCACCTAAATTACTTCAGCTAAATAAAGCAGTTTTAGTGTATAGATCATTCCCCTGCAATGTCACTGCTCAATACACTGTCATTTTAGGAGTTAAATCACTTTGTTTCTGGTTATGCAGTCCTAGCCACACCTCCCCTGGCTATGATTGACAGAGCCTGCATGAAAAAAAAAAACTGGTTTCACTTTCAAACAGATGTAATTTACCTTAAACAATTGTATCTCAATTTCTAAATTGAACTTTAATCACATACAGGAGGCTCTTGCAGGGTCTAGCAAGCTATTAACATAGCAGGGGATAAGAAAATCTTAATTAAACAGAACTTGCAATAAAGAAAACCTAAATAGGGCTCTCTTTACAGGAAGTGTTCATGGAAGGCTGTGCAAGTCACATGCAGGGAGGTGTGACTAGGGTTCATAAACAAAGGGATTTATCTCCTAAACGGCAGAGGATTGAGCAGTGAGGCTGCAGGGGCATGTTCTATACACCAAAACTGCTTCATTAAGCTAAAGTTGTTCAGGTGACTAGTGTCCCTTTAACTCAACTCTGATGCTCCTCCTATATTACTGCCCAATTCGAAACACTGGAAAGCTATACAATCTCAGCTCAATGCCCCCTCAGAAGCCCCTGATTGGACTGAAAGTCTGTGCTGGGGAAAAAGGGGAGGGCTTGAAAGGCTGCAGTCAAGAGTCCTGCATAATGCATGTTATTTTTAAATATAGCCCCCAATGATAAAAATTCAGAAATTAATGCATGCATGTTTTAATTTGGGGCTTATCTACTAAAATTTGTGTAGGGGGTATTGTTTTTGTTTTTTTTATTGTTTTTGGTTTTTTGTTTTTAACTGCATTAAAATTGGGAATCCCATACAGCAAACAAAAAGATCTAAAAATTAAATTTACTCACCTCTTGGGAAAGGCTATAAAATTATAATGTTATATATATAGAGCATGATGTGGATATTTTTCATTGTGATTCCTTAGGATATATTTGTACAGTGATTTAACAACTTACACATGTATATTTCCTGTATTACACCATGCGACAATTAAATCACTGGTAATGTGCAATTCTACCTTATCTTTTACAACAACAACAACAACAAAAAACACACAAAACAATGATGACAGACATGGAGGGAGTTGGGGGGGGGGGAGGTTAGGAAATGTGTGAAACAATTCAATATATACATTGTTGGAAATGTACCACAGTGCTTTAAAGGACCACTCTAGGCACCCAGACCACTTCAGCTTAATGAAATGGTCTGGGTGCCTGGTCCTTCTAGGGTTAACCCATTTTTTCATAAACATAGCAGTTTCAGAGAAACTGCTATGTTTATGAATGGGTTAAGCCTTCCCCCTATTCCTCTAGTGGCTGTCTCATTGACAGCCACTAGAGGCGCTTGCGTGCTTCTCACTGTGATTTTCACAGTGCGAGCACAGCGTCCATAGGAAAGCATTATAAATGCTTTCCTATGTGACTGGCTGAATGCGCGCGCAGCTCTTGCGCGTGCGCATTCAGCCGACGGGGAGGAGAAGAGGAGGATCGGAGGAGAGAGCTCCTCAGCGCTGGAAAAAGGTAAGTTTTAACCCCTTTCCCCTTTCCAGAGCCGGGCGGGAGGGGGTCCCTGAGGGTGGGGGCACCCTCAGGGCACTATAGTGGTCCTTTAAACACCAAAAAGCATGTGCATAATTCTGAGTACAGCCCCATTACAATTCTTCAAAACCTTCTGGGTGCTTTATTTTTACAGTTCTTTTAAACTTAAATTGTAACAGAACGTGGTACATTTAGCATGACAAAAGCAGGCTTGAAACTGAAACTGCACACAGTGTTCAACCCCATCAGACAAAAGAGAAATGACAAGATCACTGCAATAAAAATTCCACGCCTAAAAGACTATGGGCTACATTCTATTAGTCTTCATTACTTTGCAGTTGGTTGACAATTGTAGCAGGCTGCAGATCCCCAAATGTGGGCAATAATATAATCTGATGATATATGAAGAGCTGGTAAAGGGAGCATGGACCACTCTAGTTGTGTATTTTAAGAGAACCTTGTATAGCAGGCCCCAGCTCCCCCCCTCCTCCCATTAACCAACCATGACACTTCCAATATTTGCTGGCTCAGCCTTTTCTTTCCTCCTTGCAGTAACCATGCCAACACCAACTGTATCATTTCATATCTGCAGTCAATACCAGAATGCACATGGATAAAGATTTTGGGTGTATTTAATCCGTTGATGGTGCATTTAGCCCATTGCAGCTCACAGGTTTACATGATACAAGATATAACTGAAAAGAACAGACAAATTGAAGGAATGCTTACAATAAATCATACTCACTTTTCAGGGGCTGATACAGAGTAGCATTTTCAGGCCAAGGCTCTACAGCTATGAGAGAATAAAGAGTAGATTATGTAAACCAATTATTGAAATGCATTAGAGAGACATTGCTAAACATATTAAGGTTTTAGTGACATTCCAATATTTACCCAGGTGAGCAGACCTTTCACTCCATTTGAAGAATATTTTAAATATGAAAAGTTCAAAGTGAAATTGCAGAAAGTCACAAGATGCCTTTCATTTTAATCTGTTTAAAAGCATAGGTGTCAGAGGGATCAAACAGTGTTTGACTATAACACAAATTGCAACAACAACAAAAAAAAGGTTAGGAGCTAAGTTTTTTTTTTTTTTTTTAAACTAACAATGCTTTAGGTTCAATGACAAACATACAATTAAACCTTAAAGGACCACTATAGTGCCAGGAAAACATACTCGTTTTCCTGGCACTATAGTGCCCTGAGGGTACCCCCACCCTCAGGGACCCCTTCCCGCCCGGCTCTGGGGAGAGGAAAGGGGTTAAAACGTACCTTTTTCCAGCGCTGGGCGGGGAGCTCTCCTCCTCCGATCCTCCCCTTCGGCTGAATGCGCACGAGCGGCAAGAGCTGCGCGCGCATTCAGCCGGTCGCATAGGAAAGCATTTACATGATTTTCACAGTGAGAATCACGCAAGCGCTTCTAGCGGCTGTCAATGAAACAGCCACTAGAGGAATTGGAGGAAGGATTAACCCTATTATGAACATAGCAGTTTCTCTGAAACTATGTTTATAAAAAAAAAAAAAAAAGGGTTAACCCTAGCTGGACCTGGCACCCAGACCACTTTATTAAGCTGAAGTGGTCTGGGTGCCTAGAGTGGTCCTTTAATGTTCTCGTCTTGATGTGAAACAGTCTCTCCACAAAGGCTTTTCAGTGTATAGGCAGAGTTTCCATTGCTGCTTAGTAACACCTCTAGTGGCAGTCACTTAGATGGCCACTAGAGCTGCTTCCAGGTTCAGTAATGCACAGTTTGTAGCACTTGGGTTCAGTCTCCATGCTCTGCATGGAGATGTTGAATGTTCTCCATAGAGATACACTGAGTCAATGCATCTCTATGAAGAGATGCTAAATGACGCAGTGCAGTGTTTTGTTGCACATGCACTTTAGCCTCCCATAACTTTCCTATGGGAAATCATTGGTTTGGCTGAGATCATTAAAATGTATTATCTCAGCCATGAAGGTAGGGCCAATCTCAGCAAGACTAGCACGGCTTGGGAAAAAAGGGAAGTAAAAAACACACCTCTCCCATGCGATAGGATGGGGGGGCAGGTCACTTAGACACACACACACTCACTCACTGATTTCACACACTGACAAACGCACACACACATTCACAACTTATTATTTTTATTGTTATTATTAGTTTCTATTTTATTTAAGGGAGAGGGGAGGAGTGAGAGTTGAGGAAGTGGGGATGGAGAGGGAAGAAAGAGGGGAGGAATGGAGGAAAGGAGAGGACTATTTTTTAAAACAAATACCTGAAAATGCATGTTGGGAGCACACGGAGGAAAAGAATATCTACGCCACCCCTTGCAGGCACACTCCCAACGCAGACTGCAAGGGTAGAAAAAGCAGGGTTTACATTATCCCTAGGGACACCTCCAAGTGGCCACTTCTCAGATGGCCACTGGAGGTGCTTCCTGGCTCATTGCTGCACAGTAGGCAGCAGTGTTGTTCAGCATCTCCACGCTCTGTATTGGGACCCTGAATTTTCCCCATAGAGATGCATTGATTCAATGCATCTCTATGAGGAGGTGCTGATTGGCCAACCCTTGCCGATTTTAGCCAACCCAATGCTTTCCCCATGGGAAAGCATTGGATTGGCTAAAAATCTGCTATTCTGATGATGTCACCAAGGGGGAGGGGCCAGCATCAGCAGACCCGCGTGGCGCTGAAAATAAGGTGAGTTTTATTAACTTTTTAGGGGGGCAAGCCACCTAAATCGTGGGTTTAGCACTATAGGGTCAGGAATACATGTTTGTGTTCCTGACCCTATAGTGTTCCTTTAACATTTCAAAGAAACATGCCGCCCCCAAGTCAATCAAAATAATTGGCAAAATCATAAGGATATAGCAATATATATATAATCGACTATATGAGGGATAGCAACTTTAGTCCAAGTTCAAACAACATGCCTTTTCTTGAGCACAAAACTCGAGAGATCTTCTCATTCTATATGGTTCTACTCACATGGTATGTAACAGAAGAGTTTAAAAGATGGAGTATTAAATGGTATCATATATCCTGCAAGCTTTATCAGTATGACATGTATGAAGGTGGATTCACAGAGAACTGTGATTTCCTGTGAGATGCAAACTGACTCCTGATAGCACAGCCACAAATTATTGACAATATATACGTTCATGTGATCTATGTTTCATGCCCAGTCACCATACAGCCGCTTGCAGACATCTCCACACAATGCATACCTATCACAGTTTGACAGTCAGTTAGCCCAGATCCTGTAGTCTCCTGACCCGGTGGGTCAGTTTAGGCCTGGAGAGCCCTGAGATCACAAACCAACAGCCGAAGCAAAAAACTCGTAAAGATTTGGGAAAAATAAACAAAACATGTTCATATTTTCACATTATGAGGAATGGAAATCTCATATTAAAGATCCTAAAACCGTAGCACTTAGGTAATGTAGCTGGCAAACCCTTTTCTGACCAAGAAGAGTCTAACTCAATCAAGAGCCTCTCAACTTGACATGAGGAATTTTGATTAGCCCTCTGCCAGAGTACCAATCATCACAGGATGGATATGGATGTATCTTCAATAAGCTGATAGCAACAATGCCACGTCTGTTATCATTCTATTCTGTTTTGATAACTGAGCTGTGAGCAACTGTTTATTATTACTATAAAAGCAGAGTGCTCCCTTTAACTTTAACAATGATGCAAACTTGTTATGATGCTTACAGTGCCCTTCCTTTAAACTCATGCATTACCATATACCACATGCACTAACCAAGTTAAAAGAAAACCAGCACTGCTCCATTTATTATTGTTTTCTTTTTTTAATTCATAGGTTTTCCCCCCAGATCCAGATTGTATTTTCAATTTCTGTTAGAAAGGCTTCTCAAAACATAACATCCATGGGCAGTGAAGCCTTTCATGATTTGCTTCACCAATCACAGGGATAAAATGCTTTATTAAACAGTTACTCCAACGCAAAAGCTGTTCTTTTAAATTCCTATCTTAGTCTGCTCCCCCTCCCCCCCCCCGGACCTCCCTCCCTGAAGGCAGCAAAGGGCTTCAGCTCAAATCCGTGAAGTGGTCATGGTGCGTGTAGTAACCCTTTAACCCCTTAAGGACACATGACATGTGTGACATGTCATGATTCCCTTTTATTCCAGAAGTTTGGTCCTTAAGGGGTTAAAGGCATAATCGTGAAACAATAGCTTTAGTTTGGTTCCTATTTAGTAACATTTGCTAATTTCCAAATTTGTAATAGACACAGCCCTTTCATTTAACAATTGTGAATGTTTTTATCGCTTCCTGTTAATGGCATCACCCTTAGTAAGCATGAGTCACAGACCAGGTTCTAAGCTGTGTATTTGTGGCTAATGTCATGGATCCAAAGATAGAGGGTACTCAGGATTCACAGGAGCTTGCAATCTATACAAATGAACTCAAATGGTACAATATATCAAAACTGAGGGTTTTTTTAATGACAGCTCCTGTTAAAATGAAAATCCTCACAGCGACAAGCATCTCTCCAGCTGTTGCTGAAACTACAAATCCCATAATTCTTTGTCAGTATCTTGATGGGTATTTTCCCCAATGAGGATTATGGGAATTGTATTTCAACAGTAACCAGAACAATACTTATTGGGAACCCCTGCAGTAGGGTTAATCCAAATCAATTTGCCAGCATCTCTGTAGGAAATCATATACTTCATCACTTGCTCTGATGTGGCTATTGTTAATGATTGCATTTCCTTTGAAAAGGAAATGCTGGATTTCCAGGCTTTGAAAGGATTGCTAGCACAAAAAAGGGTTACAAATAAACAATATAATGTGCAGCATTATTCTTCTAGATCGTGCGTGTAGGTGAAGAACATTTGCGGAGCAGTGGGCATTGAAATTACACACTGCTACAGCTCTGTCATATTTCCAATCCATCAAGTTGATTAATGCTATAATAACTCCATATAAACTTATCATTCACGCTGTAATGAAGTCAAACCCAGTTTATTCTTGGGCAACTAGACTCCTCTAGGCATGTAATGCAGGTAAATAAAACAGCTTGGAGAGCTAACAAATTTTTCTCCTTGCATATATTCAATTAGAGTACATGAGCCTTTTTAACCATTCGGATGCCAAACAGGTGAGATGCATTTTGTTTTTAAAAACGTGAGGCACACATGTAAAAAAAAAATTTAACAGATAAAGCTCTAAATCATGCCAGCCTCTTTTTGTCCGGTAGTATGATTGTGATTATAGCAGAGGTTAGATGAACAATAATATATTCACTCAATCCTCTCTATCACTGCCCCATACATTAATAATAAAGATAGCGTGCCTTTCCCATTTAATGAAGCTCTGCAACAGCAGATCCACAAGGAGATGCTTTAGAAGCATTATATTTCAGTTAAAGTAACACTACAGTCACAAAGAAAACTTTAGCTTAATGAAGCAGTTTTTGTGTATAGATCATACCTCTGAAGTCTCACTGCTCAATTCACTGCCATTTAGTAGTTTGTTTAGGAGTTATGCAGTCCTAGCCACACCTCCCCTGACTGTGACGGACACAGCATGCATGAAAATAAAATGGTTTAATTGTCAATCAGATGTAACTTATTTTAAAAGTTTTTATCTCCTGCTCTGTACATTGAACTTTAATTACATACAGGAAGTCTAGAAAACTATTAACATTGAAGGATATAAATTCTAAATTAAACAGAATTTGCAATAAAGGAAGTGTAAACATTAGATGACTCTTTACAGGAAGTGTTAAGAAAGTCTATGTCTGTGTGAAACAGGGAGATATGATTAGGGCTACAGTTATTTAACACCTAAAAGGTAGAAAATTAAGCAGTGAGAGTGCAGGGACATGACCTATAAACCAAAACTGCTTCATTACACTAAAGTTGTTTTGGCGACTATAGTGTCCCTTTAACCCCTTAAGGACCAAACTTCTGGAATAAAAGGGAATCATGACATGTCACACATGTCATGTGTCCTTAAGGGGACACTATAGTCACTAGAACAACTTCAGCTTATTGTATTTGTTCTGGTGAGTATAATCATTCCCTTCAGGCTTTTTGCAGTAAACACTTATTTCAGAGAAAAGGCAGTGTTTACATTACAGCCTAGGAAAACCTTCACTGGCCACTCCTCAGATGGCTGCTAAAAGTGCTTCTTGGGGCAGTGCTGGTGTCTCCCCCCTCTGTATGGAGACACTGAACTCTCCTCATAAAGATGGATTGATTGGGCTGTTTTGGGCTTGTGCTGGCTCTGCCCCTGATCTGCCTCTGATCTGCCTCCTTGACAGTCTCAGCCAATCCAATGCTTTCCTACTGGAAAGCATTGTGATTGGCTCAGATCATCACTAATGATGTCAGCCAAGTAGGCAGATCAGGGACAGATCCAGCAACAGCTGACTGGAATAAAAGCAAGATTTTAGTATATTTAGTTGGGCAAGGGGGTGGGTGGGGGTAGATTGTGTTTTTAACACAATACAATTTGTGTTCCTGACCCTATAGTGTTCTTTTAAGTATTTGAAGACACAGTGAGTCGTGGAACCATGCGGCATCTGGGCAGTGGCTCAAGGTGGAAGAGAGCAGTGTGTATAGTGAAATTTACTAGCTGAGCATGCCATTATCTGAGCCTTATTTTATTTCAATGGAGATACTGACAAAACCTGGACTGTTGGTGGGTCTTGAGAACTGGTTTGAGAAACACTGTGCTAGTAAATAAATGTAATAAGTGACAAATAACATTAAAGAATTGCAACAGCATATGTTCTCTAACTAATATCAGTAACACAAGCACAACTTCTATATACTTAAAGGAACACTATAGTCACCTAAATTACTTTAGCTAAATAAAGCAGTTTTAGTGTATAGATCATTCCCCTGCAATTTCACTGCTCAATTCACTGTCATTTAGGAGTTAAATCACTTTGTTTCTGTTTATGCAGCCCTAGCCACACCTCCCCTGGCTATGATTGACAGAGCCTGCATGGGAAAAAAAAAACTGGTTTCACTTTCAAACAGATGTAATTTACCTTAAATAATTGTATCTCAATCTCTAAATTGAACTTTAATCACATACAGGAAGCTCTTGCAGGGTCTAGCAAGCTATTAACATAGCAGGGGATAAGAAAATCTTAATTAAACAGAACTTGCAATAAGGAAAGCCTTAATAGGGCTCTCTTTACAGGAAGTGTTTATGGAAGGCTGTGCAAGTCACATGCAGGGAGGTGTGACTAGGGTTCATAAACAGAGAGATTTAACTCCTAAATGGCAGAGGATTGAGCAGTGAGGCTGCAGGGGCATGTTCTATACACCAAAACGGCTTCATTAAGCTAAAGTTGTTCATGTGACTATAGTGTCCGTTTAACGAGACACTAACGGCACCTACACAACCTCATCTCAATGAAGTGGTCTGGGTGAAGTGCCCGTCAATTCAAGTCTGCAATGGTAAAATATTGTCATACTTTTGGAACGGCAAAGTTTACATTGTAGGTTTAACTTCCTCCGCTATACTCAATTATAGATAGAATGCTGCATATAGAGCAGCATTTGATTGGTATAGTGTGGCGGTTTGCTGTGCATGCACACTAGCCTCCCATTGCTCTGGTGGAATGCGCCTTCCCTGGAAAAGGTTATATGAGACCAATGACCTTATATGCCAAATGAACTGTATCTTTCCACCATGTGGCAATAGTAGGTTTAAAGAATTCAGCCTTTGCTGATACTCTACAACAATTATCAATGAAAGACTGCAGAATCCTCCATAGATCTTCTGGTGGACGGGAAATTAGATGCCATCAGTATCCTTTACACATGATAAGTGAACTTATCCGTTTGCCATTATCCATTGCAAGTGATGACAATGGGATAACATAGAATGTGCGGAAACCATATTTAAAGGATTTTTTACTTTTAAATTATACAAAAAGTAGTCTTTATGTTACTTCATGTATTCTGATTGCACTGGAATTTCCGTGTACATGAGCTTTTTAAATATTTTAACTCCTTAATGAAAAAAGTAAAAGTACGAATGTCACTTTAATCTACCTTGTGCTCTACAGACTAGCACTGCCAGACAACATGTATTTAAAACATAAATATAATAAAAGATAATTGCATCACGAATAGATGGTCTACCTATATCATACGAAAGGAATAAAAAGCAATGAAGGAACGACACAGGGAAAAAAAGCCCTTCCATTAGTTCTGATCAATAAGGGAAGTAATAGCTAACTTGGTAATTATATGCTGCCTGAACATAAGCCAATTCCACCCACCCTCATGAAAGGGCAGATCAATTTTAGAAGGGATACCAAAAATCAATTGACTTAAAACATTAGACTACCAAGGGTCAAAAAAACAAGTAGGAAGGAGTGATGACCCAATGGCTCAGTCCAAAAAATGATCACGGTTTTGCTTAAGTAGAGACGTTTTGTGGTCGGAATTATTTGAATACTTGTCAAGATTTCTCAAAGCCAGGACAGAAATACAAAGCGTCAACATAAAGAAGAAAAAAAACCCTAAGGATAATATTTGTTTTTCTACGACAGAGACAATTTATCATATTGATAGTAATATACATGTCCTGGATATTTAGCAGATAGAAAATTCATTATATATCTCACTCGACTAAGTAGAAGTCATTTTATAATAACTTACATCTGGTATTGCATTTCTGGTCTTATTAAATTGATTTAGAATACCAAGAAAATTAGTCTTAAGCTATTTTAATAGAAGTATCAAAGTAAGGATGTTTGTTAGATATATTGATGATTAAATGTTCACTTGCCAACTGGGAGAAAGATCTTGAGCAGACAATTTTATAGCAGGATCTATTACATCTTAATGCCTTACTAATTAATCAGTAGGAAAATTGGGCTGCTTGTAAAATAAATAACTGAAAAGGCAATCTAATGAAGAGGGAGAATAAGAAATCATCTAAATACATGAATGCGTTCATACTTTGCACATCTTCGAAAAGAAATGCCTTCATTCTACAGAGAAGTTTGACGCCTTTTGCAATTCCCGGAACAATTCGTACAATTATCTATTTCGATGAGTTTGATTTCCTCCACAAATTACTTATTCCTCCCCCACAAAACAAAGTGTTTAGTTTATCAGAGCTTCATGTTTCTTTTGTCTACTCACAAAGGGGAGCCTCACTTAGCTCTGGAGCAGGTGGGCTCAAATTCTGATTGGTTGCTGGAACACCACATTGAGTGCTATTGCCAATAACAAATCACATTTCAAGAGTAAGTCTTTTGGGTAATTAATTTTGGGGGTGCTTTGAACGAGAGAGTAAAAAATGAAACATTAACTTATTCTGCAAATTGGAAAATTGAATTTTATATCATATAAACAATAATTAAAAAACAACATTTAGCCAACTTCCAGCCCTTAGGTTTAGTGCAGCCCCCACATTGGCAAAAACATTGGTTCTATTGTACTGAGTCACTGAAGGTACATGTCCTTCTTACACAACATTTTAAACACGGATATTAAATAAGTCGACGAGGAGCACTTTTCAGTGCTCACAAAATTTGCTTAAGTGAGGTAATTCTTGGTATCAAAGAAAAAATCTAACTAGGTTACTGCCAAGTACCTCTTGAACCAAGGTACTCTATTGACTAAATGTTGAACATGAACTGGTAACAACAAAAATGCAATGATGTGCACAGCTGGAAGAATGTTGACATATTTTATTTGGCATAGTGAACTTTAATGATTTCCAAAGATTATCACTGTCAAGTAGTTACCCAAAAAGCAGAGCACCTTTTACGGTTCTAGATGCATATTATAAAAGGAACATTCCAAGCACCATTACCACTAATTATGTAGTGGTTATGGTGCCAGGACAGCCCTGGGGCATTCCAGTGTAATTTGTGAAAACACCCACAGCCACATAACCTGCCAGGTGCCTGCAGCTGCATAACCTGCTTCTGGATTTTCCTGCAGGAGAATCCAGTTAGCTCTACTAAGCCAAGTAGGGACATGCATGGATACGCTCACTGGCTGAGAGCATCAGTTCAACACCTGCAACCAATGAGTGTGGGCCTGTTTCGAATGTGCATGCTGCAGGAGAAAACCAGAAGCAACGCGGCTGCTCAGGACCCAGGTAAGAGTCAAAGTGTTCTAAGATGGTTTGATAAATTGCACTGTGATGGTGTCAGGGCACAAGCTGTAGTGGTATGCTATTTGTACCGTGCCTTTAAGAGCCAGCAGCCATAAGCTATAATCAAGCATCAATGAGTGTATTTTGCTCAACTAGCACCTCGGGCAATGTTATTTTGTTTTACTCACATAAAAGACTTCTCCTCTCTGTTGCAATGCCTGCTCCAAATTCTACATATTTTTTAAACCCATATGCCTATCTTAATCTGCATTGCATTACAGCCTATATCTTTGTATTTTAGTACATGCAACACTAATCGTAACGCTCTGGAGACTATAAAGATAAAGGACAACCTTTGAATATATTATACTAGCTTTAATCATCATTCTTCAGCAAAGCAGGTGTTTACCATCAATGGGTTAAATTCTAATGGGGTTTTCACAGGGTGGCCATTTTATTCACACAACAAATGTATCTCTTGCTGCATGTAGCCCAGTGAGAAATTTCATTGAAATGATTAACTACTTCAAGGGCACTGACAAAATATCAATACCAAGAAAGCAGAACGCGCAGACGAGATCTCAATGGCTTCAGAAACCCATATCTCATTAAAATTATAAAACCGTGCAGCCAGAAAGAACACAATTAGAAATGTTTTGATTGGCTGACTTGCTAGTCTGGACATGCCAAGGAGTTTCATTGCAAACAAAGACTTAACGAACTGATTCACCGCTCCCTGCTCATTACGCAAAATCTTAATTTTCTCATCTAAGTCCCAAAGTGCTCTCTCTAGACATTGAAGCAACGCTAATAAAATGTTAACTATTAGCAATGAAAATATAAAATGTTAAAAATGTACATAGTTAACATTGCTTTTATTCTCTTTTGTGGCAATGTTACGGTAAAAGACTATTTCAGTTTAACCATACTCTGTAAGATCTAGCTATATGTATTGTGCTACTGATGACGCTAAAACACAGTGCTTTCTTGATAATAAATAGATGATCTGATGTGTGTATTACTAGGACTTTAAAATAAAATTTAAAGTGACATGCCAAGCACCATGAGCACCTATGCTTATTGTACAGGTTATGGGGCAAGGACTCCTTATGATGCTCCTGCTTATAGCTGCAGTGATTTTTAAAAATGACTTAAATGATTTGAAGTCATGGTGGTAGGATCCTGGATGTGCAGTTTTTCTGTTTGAAATGCTGCACATTCAGAATTATTTGCAGTTGTGTGTCAGATACATCCCTAGCACACGTGACTTTTGAAGGAGAGCCCACAACTATTGACTGCTGAATGTCAATTCTATGCATATTTGTTGTTTCACGTCAGCGCACGCTGGCAACAGACATAATAATCTTGCCTGCCCTTTACGCAATACATAAGCTGGGAGAAGCTGTAGGGGTTTCATTTGCTAGGTCAGTGTTCTTTAAAGGACCACTATAGTGCCAGGAAAACATACTTGTTCTCCTGGCACTATAGTGCCCTGAGGGTGCCCCCACCCTCAGGGTCCCACTCCCGCCGGGCTCTAGGGGGAGGAAGGGGTTGAACTTACCTCTTTCTCCAGCGCCAGGCGGGAAGCTCTCCTCCTCCTCTCCGCCTCCTCCTCGGCTGAATGCGCATGCTCGGCAAGAGCTGCGCGCGCATTCAGCCAGTCTCATAGGAAAGCATTATCAATGCTTTCCTATGGACGCTGGCGTCTTCTCACTGTGAAAATCACAGTAAGAAATGTGCGGAGGCCCTCAAGCGGCTGTCAATGAGACAGCCACTAGAGGCTGGATTAACCTATAGGTAAACATAGCAGTTTCTCGGAAACTGCTATGTTTACAGAAAAAAGGGTTAATCCTAGCTGGACCTGGCACCCAGACCAGTGGTCTGGGTGCCTATAGTGGTCCTTTAATGCATTTTAATCTGCCAAGTACTAAACTACATATCCCATAATATCCTTCTCCTATTAAGAACAGCGAGAGAAATACGATTGGCAAGGAAGTCTCAGAAACTTTCGCATCCCTGAAAAAGCAACACATTTGCAGCAAACAAAGGAAATTCAAAAGGAACGCATTTAGTAAACCACAGTTTAACAAAAGGTTTTAAAATACTCCTGCAAGCATCTAACGTTTAGGAGTATATTTAATGGAGACTTTCTTCGTGCTACTAAAAATTTCAGAAAACTACTCTGCAAACCTAAGGAAGTCATTTGTATCTGGTTAACTTCTGCAATGCACAAATTCTACACATTAATCCCTTTATGCAGCACATTGAACAATCTAGTTCAAGTAGCCGCCTGAAATAAACTATACAAAAACAACTGACATACAGTCCTCTTCCAGGAAGCAGGAGGAAGTGCACCTTTCCCTTTCAGAATTGTGCACATATGAATTAAGGGAACAGTCGGCAATTCAGTGATAATAAGAGGGGAAGCTGGAAAGGAAAAAACTGGGTTGCAATTGTCTGAAAAATCAAAACTATGATGAAACTACTGAAATGAATACAGTGTACCAATGTACATACTGGTACGCCCTGGTGCTGTACCAGTGTAATCTGTCAAACTATCAGTATGGCTTGACACTTACCTGGGTGCTACATAAGCAGATGCCTACAGGGAATCATTGACACCCATTTGCAGCTCAAGCTAAGGAGAAGAGAGATAGCAGGCAGGCGTCTGGAGGCATTTCTTCTGTGTTAAACTGTTCAAATATGGTTAAAAACTAGAATGTAAGATGGAGCCAGGGTATCCAGGCACTGTAACCACTTAATTGAGATTAAATGAGTACACAGAGTGTTCCTTCAATACCTGCAGAGTTTTTACACATTTCACTCTGGACATTTTTTTTTTATTCTTTATTTTTGCTGTGCATATAAGTTTACAACACGCATGGGGTACCCCAACACCAATCCTCACGCTTTTTTATAAACATTTGTAACAGTATGGGGTATGTTGATGCATGCACAATTTGCAGTTTGGTATGATTATTCACACTTTAGTGGACATTGTTTTTAATGGCCATATTTTTACAAAAGTAGTTACTTGTCCTTTACAGTAGAGCACAGCCAAAAACTCAAATTTTACAGGAAAAACAAAGTTGTAGCAGTTATATATTAGGTTATACAACCATTAGTTAGATTTAACCCATGGTTTATGTACTAGGTAGGAAATCTTTACACCTTAGTTTCACTTTATATGCAACTGATTTTTCTCTCACTGTGTCTTAGTGTGATGCCCTTTGTGTAATCCTGAGAGTCACTGCCAGTTCTATTCACATGTATGTATGCCACTGGAGGCAGTTCTGAGTGTTCTCCACTGATTTCAACAAGAAGCATACTGGTAAATATATTTTAAAGGGACACTATAGTCACAACTACAGCGTATTGTATTTGTTCTGGTGAGTAGAATCATTCATTTCAGGCTTTTCAGAGAAAATACAGTGTTTACTTTACAGCCCAGTGATAACTTCACTGGCCACTCCTTAGATGGCTGCTGGAGGGGCTCCCTGGGGCAGTCCTGCCTAGTATGCATCACATCATTCAGTGTCTCCACCCTCTGCATGCAGTCACTCAACTTTTCATCATAGAGATGCATTGATTCAATGCATCTCTATGAGGAGATGCTGATTGGCCAGGGTTGTGTTTGACTTGTGCAGACTCTGCCCCTGATCTGCCTCCTTGACAGTTTCTGCCAATCCTATGGTGAAGCATTGTGATTGGCTCGGACCACCACTTCTGATGATGTCAAGAGTTCATAGGCAGTTCAGAGACTGACTGGAGCAGAGCTGGCAGCTGCAGACTTTAATACAAGTAAGATTTTACTATATTTAGAAAGGTGGGGGTTGAGGGGGCAGGGTGGCTAGATGGTGATTTTAACACTATAGGGTCAGGAATACATGTTTGTGTTCCTGACCCTATAGTGTTCCTTTAACTCTGTCAAAGTGCATTTCCAATTGAAATAATATTGTAGTGAATTTTAGATCTTACATACATTATGGGTATGGCTTGGACCTTCAAATGTATCTGTTACCAGAATCTAACACTGGTTAGAGAATAGTAATTTTCCCTATGACTTCTAGGGGTATATGCTATTCAATTAAATGGACACTATAGGCACCTAGACCACTTCATCTCACTGAAATGATCTGGGTGTAATGCCCCTGTAATGTTAGCCCTGCAGCTGCAAACAATGCAGTTGCAAGGAAACTGCAATGTTAACATTGCAGGATTAAGCCAGCCTCTTTAGTGGCACTCTACAAGCCAGACACTAGAGCAGGGCTGTCCAACCTGCGGCCCCCCCAGATGTTGCTGAACTACAACTCCCATGATTCCCTGGCTATCTGTTTAATTGAAAGAATCATGGGAGTTGTAGTTCAGCAACATCGGGGGGGGAGGGGGGAGAGGCACAGGTTGGACAGGCCTGCACTAGAGGCACTTCTTAGCCTTTCACGACGTTTGACTCTGTGAACCAACGCTGGCCATCCTCACACTCTGATTCAATGCTTTCCTATGTGGAAGGTCTAAATGCACGTGCGGTGCTTGCAGCACATGCACATTAGGTTCCCCCACATTGGCTGACGATGGAGGGGCTTGAGCCCAATCCAGCGCTAAGGGACCTCTGTACTTTAATAAATTAAGTGTAAAATTGGTTTTCAACCCTTTATTTGCTTCCAGGGGGTGCGTGGGACACTATAGTGTTAGGAATACACTATAGTCATTATAGTCAGTTAATGTAGCCAATTATAACTTATGCACTTTATAAGGAGCATAAAATGTTATCTATGCATTGTGCTGTGCTTGCAAATGTATAGATTGGGGAAAAAATACTATTTAAACATAGGTCTTTCTGACACCTATCAATTTTCACCATAGACTCAATGTCGAAGAACTGAGTGACAGGGAGAGCAAGAAGAGACCCCCTCAATGAATACACCGACCATCAACAGAAATCAGGGAGCAGAGCAGACACGTGCCTCTTTCTCAACTTTGTGGTTAAACCATTTGTAAACAGTTTGACCTCTAAAGAAAAGCCGGCACCCTGGAACGACTGCCTGGATTGTTTCTTTGAATAAAATACATCAGAAAATTATAAAACAAGTATATTAAAAGCAGATGTAAGCAAAAAAATATTTAGATCAACATGAAACCTACCCTAAGTTTAAAACTGTTAATGAATAGAAGAATTACGTGGAAAATGCACACAAAAAAAACTAAAGGTCAGAAACAAAAACAAAAAAACTGAAAAGGCCACATTCAAAAATGTGTATACATATGTTAAAGCTTGTCTTTCAATATTTAGAAAGGACTATGGTCTCATCTAAATAAAAGTTTAACTGATCAACTCCCATGGATAAAAGTAGGCAAGGACCCTCAGCTAGCTGGGTACTTTGAGACAGTAGTAGTCAACAAATCTACCTATTTTTCTCTTTAAGAAAGACAATCTATATCAAGGTTTAATGGAAAAGGCGGTATATTTTATGGATAACAATATCAGTTCCTACAATAAGATTTGGGGGCAATGGTTTGACTACTACAAAGAATAAACTATCTATACCTTATTTAAATTAATAACCCTGGCATAGATGCATTTGTAAGATAAAACACAGATAACATTCAGAAAGTGTCTCTAGCTCTAAATGATTATTTTAAAGAAGTGACACTGACTCCGTCCAACTCCCAGATCCCGATGGCTGACCCGATATCTTTTTTATGTTGTATGTCTTTTTATGTAGCTTTGTATGCACTGTAATGTAATATTCATATTTTGATGTTTATCTTATCATGAAACAACTATTACTGTTTAATACTTGTTTAATCTTCAAAAAAAAAAGAAAGACATTCTAAATTAGCCTTTTATATGGGATTTACTTCTGTTCAAATTACGAATACCTATTTTTCATGCAATAGTGTGGGAACAGTAATGTAAGCAACAGCATGCTACATTTGTTTTCATGCAGGCTTTAAGAGCCCCTATCATTCTTTAATTCATGAATAAGTGACTATTCTATCAAATATAAAATCAAGAGGAAATGATGTAGAATTACATAATTTATACTTTTACCTGGTCACACTAAAGGAACACCCCAAGCACCATAACCACTAATGTTCAGTGGTTATAGTGCCAGGACTGAAACCATTTTTGAATAGTTTGACTTGTTACAACCTCCACTGTCATTGCTGGAGAGATGGAACATACAAAGAAGGAACTTCTGTTAGCTCTCTTGATGTTAGTATTGCATGCAGGTCTTAGCTCATTGACTGAGAGCGATCAGCTGATGCTCTCAGCCAATGAGCTAAGACCTGCACTGCGGGACTACTTAGGAAATTCTGGCAGTGGAGGAGGGAGTCAAACTGTTAAAAAAAAAAAAAAAAGGCATGACTCCTTGCAACAGGTGAAGGGTTCCATAAGCACTATAGAGAGATGATAAGGATATGGTGCTTGAGTGTTTCTTTATGCATAATAAATTTGCATAAAGGTTATTGTACCAAATTCTATTTTGCTAACTCAACTGATATAGTTCGACTCAAGTCTAATTATACCATTGTTAAAATTACTCTGTGGTTTAGTGAATTCACAAATAATCCAATGCTAAACAAATTTAGCTGAATGAATCCCTGCTATTTTCATATGAATTTAATTGACAACTTCAGGGTTTAGCGAATGGACACCAAATTCAGCAATGGTCTCTCTCGGGTTCCTGTTACAAGTTGGAGCAGACACCAAAACAACCAGGGAGCCTCAACACAATCATAGATTCCCCTGCACAGCCTGAAAATGACAAACCTTCCAGGCTAGTACCACTCTGGACAATTCCAGGAGCATGTGCGGACATGACCCTTTAAAGCGAATTCTAACAATATCGTTCTGGCAGCAGACTAGTTAAGTAATATTTTAGAGTTCTTATAGCATTAGAGCATGGAATGTGATATGAAATAGGCAGGATAGCAGAAATTGGAGTTAATAACACCTGTGTGTTAGGGAAGATATGTGAGATGATCATCTGCATGCAGGAAAAATTACATGAATTACAAGGATTTGCCCAAGACATTGCAAATTACAGATGCATATTTTCTTATGGGCTGGGGTTCTGCTTTACATCAACTTTCTTTTAGGACTCGTAGCTCCTTCTGTGCAATTTGGCTGAAATTTATCAATTTGCAAACAGCCAAATTAGTTACATGTTATCAAAGGAGTCAACATTTTGCAACTTGGCAACATTCACCTGAGGTGTGCACACTGTACTTGGACGGGAATGGCTAGAGTACATGAGCTCATATTCCATTTTCTAACCAGATAACATGGAACAAGGAAGTGCTGCACTCTTTATCTCAGTAAACACTTCAATAGCATTTACTGGGATGAGGTAATGGGAAACTGTCATTTTCAGAGACATGACAGTTTCTCTATAAGTAAAGATTTATTATAATGAAGTTTGTGCTTACAGGAGGTAGAAAAGGTTTTTAACTATAAAACTAAACATTAAATTAGAATAACTTTTAACCATGTTCCAAGATTTAGGCAAAAAAGTGCTCATGTAGATAACGTATCCAACTCTGCTATAGTCACGGCTTGGCTATTACCCTAAATTTTGCAACTTGATTTTCAGTTCACTTCAGTTTTGTGTTCTAGTTAAATGATCACTATAGTGTCAGGAAAACAAACCCGTTTTCCTGACACTATGTCATCCTTGGGGGACCCCTTCAGCCACTTACCTTATTCCAGCGCCGGGCTCCCTTGGCGCTGATGACCTCTCCTCCCCGCCGACGTCAGCTCCCCCATCCGTCAGCGGATCCGAATGCAATGCGCGGCAAGTGCCGCGCGCGCATTCAAAGTCTCCACAGGAAAGCATTTCTCAATGCTTTCCTATGACGCTCTGCACGATGGAGGCATAATATGCCACCAGCGTCGCAGATGCGCCTCTAATGGCTGTCCGAAAGACAGCCACTAGAGGCTGGCTTAACCCCAAATGTAAACATAGCAGTTTCTCTGAAACTGCTATGTTTACATCTGAAGGGTTAAAACCTGAGGGACCTGGCACCCAGACCACTTCTTTGAGCTGAAGTGGTCTGGCTGACTATAGTGGTCCTTTAATAAAGCCCTGACTACAATTCTTGTGATCCCTGAACCAATGATAATACATTTTTAATCTGCCACAACACATGTGAGTTCGTGATTTAACCACTTTTATTTTTTTCCTCCTTTCTCTCTCTCTCTCATACACAGTGGTGACCCAATCAGGCTGCTTTTATAAGCTTTAACAACTGAGTGACAAACTCCAACTCCCATCACTCCATTGCTTTTTTTTATTTGTACCAGTCACAGAGGCGATGCCACAGGTGCCCAGGCCTTGCTGGGTGAGTGGCATGGCTGTCAGGGTGCTATGGCTGTCAGGGAGAGGCAGGTCATGGAGTACAGACTGACACAGGGAGCAATGAGCGAGTTACCTGCTATCTGAGACACAAAGGCATCGGTAACCAGAGACATGACCGGCGACGGGCAGCCAGACACTATCCACAACACATGGAAGGTTAAGGTCACAATAACAGGAAGCTCATGGCTGGATGACAGGTCACCCCGGAAGTATTTCCGCCGGTATCTGAGGCAACGGCAGTCTTGGTTAGTCATTGTAATAATACTTCATATTCAACTAATTAAAGTACCGATAACTCGATAGAGTCAGGAAAAGTATAAATAATATGTTTCCAATGTAAAATTATCTTGACAATAGGGGCAGCCTCTCGGGGAGGCGCTGCATCCGCCATCTTTGTTATGGGCACCATTACTTACTGTACAAATACAAAATTAAAGTGATAAGTGATTTGGGCTTATTCAGAGATGAAATGGATAGTGGTACTCTGGTTTTTAACTGTGTCTGGTCCTATATCAATTAAAATATGATTACAGAATGGCACCCAATGTTTTTTTGCGCCATGATGATAAGGTGTTTAGCGTGCCCCTTTAAACCTAACTTTTCTTTCAAAGACACTGGTATCATTGTCACCTGCCTCTTTGCACCATTATGTACATATTGCAAAGTGGAAGCTCCTTGAGGGATATGTTTCCTAGAAATTCTGTATCAAATCCGACGTTTTTCCACTGTTTTCTTACTTCTTATTTCTGCAACCCTAACTAACCTTGGGGAAGAACAACCCAATATACAAATATTGACAAAAAAAAATAAAATAAAGGCACCTCTTTGTTCTTATGATAAGGTCCTAATGATGCTCCATATATATGTCATACAAGTCAGTTTTTGTATTATTGCTAACAAGTTGTGGAAGGCCCAAATATGAAATCTTCCAACACTTATAAATCATTGAAGATATCTCTATCTCCAATCACACAAACCTGTGACCACGGCTAACGTAAATTATTTGTTTTGTTTATGTTTTAAATATATAACTCTTTAACCGAATTGCATTGTTCATGTGTCCCAAGATATACTTAAAGGGATAGTCAAAGTGACATAATCACTACAGCTTCCTCTCTTGGGTGAGGACAGGGTGTGGTGACTGTAGTCAGTTAGGGATTGTGTCTGTGTCTGACACTGTTGGCTTTGCAGACAACATGTCTACCCACAAAGGGAGCACCTTATCCCATGGCATGCCCTTCATAGCTGCTTATACAGTGAGCACTGCTGTAGCCATTGTATGTGAGTTTAAATGCGCTGAATCATAAGCACAATTAAACATGGGCTCGTACTGTACTTTTGCTTAGTAATACTGACACCAGGTGACAGGCCCAGTCTGTCAGGTAATTGGGAAGACTGAGGGCAAATTGAGTGCCACATGGTGCCACTGTGTTACTTGGCAGCTCTGTTACTGGTTATGTTACTAACAGTCCCTGGGTGCCATCCCTCAAAAAAAAATTTGTTTGACAAATATTAGAATTAACCATGGCAATTAGAGACTGCCCTTTCATTAGCAACATTTATAATAAGAAATGTACTTGTGCATATTTTGGCAACCAGAGACCCAAGGCTAAATAACACAGCATGAAACTGGAATGGTTATGTTGATGAGAGTGCCAGGTCTCTCATGTATCCTGATTTCACCTAGAGAGTCCCGATTTAAAGATCCTGTACCTCCGTCCTGACTTTGTTCTCTGGTGTCCCGCTTTTGGGTATGTGCCCCTTTAAGAGTACATTGCCCTCCTAGACACAGAACTTCCATTTCAAATTGCAAAAACAGATTTGCAGATCAGAGTTAGTATTTAAAACATTCAGAACTCGGAATTATTTTCTTATAGAACAGTCATGCATGTATACAAACCTCTCCTTTGTGATTCTTATGTCAAGGATCTGTTTAGTATTTATATTTTCATAACAATCTATGTATAAAAGAGCAATTTTTCATGTTTGTTTAATCAAAAATGCTTATTCACTAAACAGAAAATTGCAGTAAATTAAAAAAACAATTTGTAAAAGTTAGCACAAAATGCAGAAAGGCTGTGGAATTGAGCTATAGCCACAGCTTGGCTATTTTACCCTGAATTTTTTTTAATTTGGTTTAAATTAAAAACTTCAATACTACAAAACACTTTTAATTTTCATCTTGTATTGCATAGTATGATCCTACATTAAAGCTCCAAACTATAATTATATTATTTTCATAATTGTTCTTCATTGCATCTAATGGATAAGAACCCCTTTGTCTGTTCTGTCTACTTTATTACATTGCATTAGTCTATTTTAAAATATCCGATCTCATACAGCAATTCTCAAAGGATACAAGTCAGCGGTCTGCATGCTGAGTAAGATGACTTGATAACGCTGCTGAAAACATCGCCATTTGACAAATGATTGAAAAATTACGTGGGATCTAGCAGGCCATCAACCTCACATTGCTCAAAATGTATTGATGTGGTCCACATTTATTAACTGGAAATATCAAACAAACATTTTATTTAGACCAAACATAACATAACAATATCCCTCTTTATAATGACAGGATTATTAAAATGTTCTTGTTGTTCCTACTTACCATTACGTTATAGAGCTTTGCTTCGGCTGAATTATTGATTAATTGTATACATTAGATTACAAAAATCCTACATGTGTACAATGTTACCTTACGCACAGGACACAAGAGCACAGATTTCTATTCACAGCAAGTCGTAGGACACTGTAGGGACTATAACCACTTCATCTCATTGAATTGACTCAAGTGCCTGGAGAGAACTGATTCAGTCAAATGGTTTGACACCAATGAGGGACCCCTGCAACCTAGTTAAACTAGCAATACCAACCCATACTGGCAAAGGGATGTTCTAGTAGACACTAAGGAGCCAGGCTGAAGGTATTCAGTCTTAACCTCTTTACAAATGTCTTAATACTGAATGGTGGGATGGCACCAGGGGACTCGAGGTACTATAAACACTTGTATGAGATTAAATGGTTATAGTGCCTACAGTGTCCCTTTAAGAATAAATGTATCAATATCCTTCTGAAATAGTTGAGGTGGAAAAATTATTTATGTGGTTATTCACCCGGTTCCATATTTTCTTTAGTAATTGGGGCATTGCAGGGAGATAAATTATGGAGTTAGTTTGCTAAATTTACTATTGGTACTCACCTGGATCAATTCAAAGGTAACTTGGTATACTATCCCAACTGGCCCTAAAGCGGCCTGAAATACCTCAAACGTAGTTCCCAGATGATTCATGAACTATTTCCCCCAAATCAATACTTTTTTTTTAAATTTAACAATTTTTATTTTCAAATTTGAGATGTCCAACAGTGTTGAGGGGAGGGAGGGAGGATACAGAAAAATAGAAGGGGGTTCAGCAGATATGATCAAATTCAAACTGTACATACTGGTCCAGCTTCACAGAGTCATCAGACATAACACAAACATTACACAATACACCGTGCCTTGCAGTTGGCTACGACTGCATTGTATTGTAGTGCATGAGAGCTAGTGTGGGGAGAGAGATGTTGAGTTGGCCTGCTCCGCAAGCTCTGGGTCTCCCATGGGTTTTCAACAGAGTACAGTGGTGTGGAGACATTGCTACTACAGACATGTCATCATTGTACAACAACGGTACTTATTGTACCTGGCGGACCAATCTCCATGTGTCCCAGACTTCCCATGTTACTTTGGTAGTCCAAGATGGGGGCCATAGTCTACCATACATTTGTTCATATCTTCGTTGGTCATCGATATCTGAAAGTAGGCTATTGTCGGACATTTGTTGGTTTTCCATTTCCCAAATCAATATTTGACAAAAAGTTAAAAAAAAATAATTATATATATATATATATACACACATACACACACATGGATATACCTGGCTTGGAGTATTTTGCTGCTGTGAAGGTGTTACAGTCTTATTTACCATGCAGCTATACTCCTAAAAACACATTGTTTATTAAAGTTAATGTGAGTCAAGCAGGCTTTTCCAATGCCAAAGAGGCTAAGAATTACTGTTTGTCAAGCCTCTTCCAAGTGCATCACCATGCATATTTAGCTTATTTATGCTATGTTTGCTAGCTCATGAATTTTTCATGAGGAATCTATGCAAGGTTAAAGCAGGTGGAATAAATCCGATTAACAAAAGCAAAACCATGTACAAAAATAAAAAAAAAGTTGACATCTAAGCTCATAAAATAAATCTTCCAAATACTCTATTGGTTCATATAACCTCTCATAGAGACATTTTCTAAGAAAAATATGTCGATGACGCATTTAATATTCATGCAAAGTTCCCAAGTGTATTGGCATTAGGGCAAGATCTTGCTAAACAGTAATGTTTAGAGCTTTAAGAAATTTAGACAATATATGGAAATGATTACAAAAATAATATTGGGGAAGGAATGTAGCAACATTATCTTTTTATGATAGAGTTTTATCTAATTTGGAGATCAGAGTGTAATTTACAGGAACCAAGAACTATTTAACAAAGTGTATATTATCACAATAGCTGCTATAACGTATTCAAAATGTAAGTTTCCCTTAGATTGTCTCTAATAAAATAACCAAATATATAGTATGTTTAAAAAAATATTGTAAATGTATGATTTTTTTGCAGGCACAGGTTTTTTTTTTGTTATTTTATAATTTCTGATAAAATTAAAATACTGACTTTTCTCTTGATCATTAGCTCCCTTTATGGCACAATAAGGAGTTTTGGCAAAAAAAAAAAAAAAAAAATCATGTTTAGACCCAAAACTAAATATGCAAAACTAGAGTAACACTAGAGGGTCAGGAACACAAACACTATAGTGTTTAACTATTTAGGTCCCCAGCTCCTCCCTGTCAGAGCAGTGAAAAGGTGTTTAAACTCACCTTTTCTCCCACGTCACGCCGATAACATGATGATTTCAGCTAATCCAATGTTTCTATTGGGTAGCATTGGGAGCCTATTGCGCATGTGCAGAAAAATTCTGCGCTGTGTCAATCAGCATCTCCTAATATGCATGAATAGTTGCATCTCTATGGGTAAAGTTCAGCGTGTGAAGACACTGAACACTGACATTGGAAGCA